AACACTGTAAATTAAATTCAGAATTTCAGAGAATGGGAAATCTAACAATTATAACCTCCGATAAACCCCGAATTCTCAGCCAAAAACAAACTCCGAAAAACAGCCTTCAAATTTGACGAGAAATAAACTAAAACAACAACAACAACAACAACGCGGAATTCTCCTTAGGCTGGAAAAATGAACCTTATCGTAACCTGGGATAAAGCTCGTCTTTCTTTCCCTCTTGCGTCCTTCAAATAGGAAGGGCGCAAAAGGAACGCACAGTTTTCTTTTCAAAAATAAAGCCTTGGTCAGAGTAGGTACCATTAACAACGGGTATTCAAAATCGGTTGAAAAAGGAATCATAGAGCAACACTTCAGTTGGGAAAAAAACCTCACTTCCTTCCTTGTTTTACACTCGGTTGTTGAATTAGCCCAGAAACATAATTTCTGTAAAATGCCAGCAAAAGCCGCCATATCCGCTAAAACACCCCAAGTTTTCTGGATCCATCAAACTCGACTCTAATACCAGAAACCTCAAAATCAACTACGCACAAATATTATGAGAGCCTACACCTATCCTTTAAATGTGACATTGCTCTTTAAAGGCGTTGGAACCAGAGCTAAGCGAAAGTTCGCTGCTCTTTCGATCGACAGCTGCACGGGAATGACCTTGACTACCGAGTTCTTCAAATATAGACCCGGGTATTTTGTTTTATTTTTCTATTTCCCAGCACAGCTTTTTAAAATCAGAGGTCAACCTACAGTCAAGACCAAAGAAGGTAGACCCGTAATAGTACTGAACACAGTTTCCGAGACTATCGCTCTCACCCAGGCGCTCCCCCATGTCGACGCGCACGCTCCGATTAATGCCATTGGATCCTGGGAAATTAGCGCCAAGCTCCCCGTATGTTCACCATTTTAGTTCGTGGACGGGGCAGTTTCTCCTTTCCATTCTTCGCGAGCCGATGAATATTCGCTGGTGAGGGGTAGCTTTATAGAGAAGTATCGAGATTTGTTATCCACACAACACACTGGCGAAGCAAGCACACATCTTCGCACCGCTATTACATGCGGCGTCGGTGCCTGGCGGCCAGAGGTCGGCAATTTAGGTCGCCCTCACTCACCCTCACCCTCACAGCCACACTCACCTAAGCCCCTCACTCACCCTCACCCTCACAGCTACACTCACCTTCAGCCCCTCACTCACCCTCACCCTCACAGTCACACTCACCTTCAGCACTTCACTCACCCTCACTGAACCTCACGGCCCTCACGCACTCACCGCCCTCACGGCCCTCACGCCCCTCACCGCCGTCATGGCCCTCATGCCCCTCACTCACTCATGGCCCTCACGGCCCTCACCGCCCTCACGGCCCTCACCGCCCTCACGCACTCATAGCCCTCACGCCACTCACCGCCCTCACGCACTCACAGCCCTCACGCCACTCACCGCCCTCACGCCACTCACCGCCCTCACGCCACTCACCGCCCTCACGGCCCTCACCGCCCATGCGGCCCTCACACCCCTCACGCCCCTCACGCACTCATGGCCCCCACGCCACTCAGGCCAGCTTCAGATGGGGCAATTTCGCCCAGAAACTACGTCGCAACACCAGCAACACGGGCCGCCCGCGATCACACGCAGCAACCAATTGCTGCAATTTGCCATCGTCATCATAAAATTTTATTTTTCTTGCACTATTTAGACAGAATTACGCATTATAAACGTGTTTTTATGCATTTAAACCTCGTTAAGAATACTAACGCACCTTTCTGAAACGGTTTATTTCCAAAAAAAACGATCGATTTCAAACCAGAACCAAGTCATTCGGTGTCATCATCACCGGCACGAGGTATCACGTGAAAATTTTGCGTCCCTGATTGGATGCAGCCGCTTCAAACGTATTCGAATTGCTCCGAGTTGCTTGCTTATTTCGAGCCGAACCCGACGTCAGAAATTCGTGTCGATCTATAGGGAAAGCTAGAGAACAACCCGCCATTAACACCAAAATTGCAGAGAAAGATGCTCGATCTGAAGGGGGCCTCACGCACTCACCGTTCTCACACACTCATGGCCCTCACACACCGCATGCACTCACCGCCCTCACGGCCCTCACGCCTCTCATGCCACTCACTGCCCTCACGCACTCATGGCCCTCACACCCCTTATGCACTCACCGCCCTCACACCACTCACGCACTCATGGCCCTCACGCCACTCACCGCCCTCACGCCCCTCACGGCCCTCACCGCCCTCACCGCCCTCACCGCCCTCACGGCCCTCACCGCCCTCACGGCCCTCACGGCCCTCACCGCCCTCACAGCCCTCACAGCCCTCACTCACCCTCACACTCATGAATTTTCCTGGTTCAGAAACTCACTCACCCTCACCTCACCTGTGAAGATGAGGGTGAGTGAGGGTGAGTGAGGGCCCTCATGAGTGAGGTTTGCCGAGGTATGCTGGCGGCATTGAAACCTGTTCCAGTCCTGAAATACGCAAGTACAACAATACCGGTGTAAGAGATCTGTGTAGATAAGCATGATTGATAGATGAATTGCACGCACAGTGCCAAAAATGCTTTCAGTACAATGATGCTCCATGGCGATTATGGCGCGACTGGTTCGGAACGACCCTGATGACCTTTCCGAAGATCTGAACGGACAGAAATGGCGATTGCCATGGCAACTGGGAGCGATCAGCCAATCAGCTTGCGAGGTTTGGTCGTCTGTGTGTCAGCATATGTTTGTGTCCGGTTAGCGGGCAGGAAAGGCAATGGCGTTACTTTCCCAGGATCCAGCGACTTTAGCCCTGGTGAGAGGCGGTGAGGGCTGACGGGAGCGGTGCAAAAGCCACGGCACGGATGCACGTGGAACATGATAATCAAGGGATCTCATGAGAAGTAGAAGACCCTGGTTCTTTCTTATCACGGTATTCGCCAACCTAGCATTTCGCAGTTTTCTCGCGACTTTTAGCTCTTGAAATCGCCGAGATCGTCTGCAAATTTAGACAATGTCGGCGATCAACCAAGCAACGCATCAACAGGGCAGCGCGTTTGACGAGAAATATTCCTTTCATCATAAGTCAAAGCGCAACACCAGTCATTCGTCATCTTTCTTTACGTGTTGTTTCATCGGTTAGAACAATCAGGTGCAACGGATGTTCCGTGACTTGCGGTTTCAGTATGTGTTTGTGGTCACATGTGTTCGAGCCTTCGACTGTGCTCTCGACAGAAAGAGACGCTGTAAAACATGTACCATTTTCCTTTCCCTCTATACTTCTCTAAACATTAAAGTTAAACAATAATTTTTTAAGTCCTTTTGGAGCAGGTGTGGTGCAGTTTTTAGCAAAAATGGCATTTTGGTGCAAGATGTAGCAGACTTCGTTAATGGCACCAGTTGGCGCAGCACTTCCCTCACCGTTTATGTGTAAATACTATGCATATTAAAATTCCCGTGTTCCCATGTGTATTATGCTTAGTGTCCTATGTTGTATCAATTGCATATCGTCAGCATCAGTTATATCACACATTTTGTCCTGTGTAGATTCCACAATTCTTATGCGCTTTGATTTATTCGTGGCGAGTTTTCTGGGTCCCAGATATAGTCACGATTAACTAAATACAGTTACTACATACAAAACTAAATAACTTAAAAATACAGTATATAGTATCGATCTGCCTTACCTTTTTTTTTATCTCTCACATTTTTTTAAATGCTCTAGGAATATTTATATTATAGTCCGGCCCTCTACACGACAGATCACCGATCCGGCCCCTTTGCCAAAAAGTTTGGAGACCCCTGGGTTAAACCAATCAAATGCAGTCGACAATGTTTTTGTTTCTTTGTGCTTAAAGGGATGCTGAACAGGAATTAGGATTTCACAAAATAAGGCTGCAGAAGCATTGAACGGGACGCTATGAACTCCACAACCTCACTCATACATTGATATCTCAAACGGATGGCCTATTTTTGGAAAAGGGTGCTATCAAGCGAGGACCATGACGCCACGATGCTCCTGTAACAGTTGAGAAAATTCACAGGGTCCCTTATGTTATCCCCAAGACGACTTAAAGGCTAAAGCCCAAGCGCCGATCCCGGTGATAGCGAACCTACGAAGACAGCGCATCCCCTGACGACATACTTTTGGTGCAGTCGATCTCACGGCATGTCGCACGCCCGCTCTTCACCTCTGCCCGAGCGAGTCTTCTCCCGCTGGGTTTGGGCAGCACGCGTGCCTTCGCAGAATCTGGCACAAGTAACGCCATCTCGTGGTCCAGTGGTGAACCGGGGTTTTTGGTACCTTTCGTGTCGCCGACGTGTTTTCGCTCAAGGACTGAACGACTAGACATTCAAGGCTTTCACTTTAATAAGGGGAAGCAACCTCACTTCGTTTCACCAGCTCAAGGGACGAAGCGAAGAGGGAATGGGAATTGCGAGGTCGCATGCCTTGTCTGCAGCATTCAATCGCGCGCTTCTTTTCTAGAAATACCACCATCCGTCAGAAATATCGCTGTACGATTGATGCTTTTCGTTTTTGCAGCGTCCCGTCCATTTCTCCAGCCTTTTGAGGTCCGAATTTCGGTTCAATATCCCTTTAAGCCCATCATGGCACAGGTGTGGCACAATTCTAAGGAATTAAAAAAAAAAAGGAAATGGGATGGGCAGGTATTATACAATACACACAACTACTTCCAACCCCCCCCCCCCCCCCCCCCATCAATTATTCGTGATGAGAAGCATGCTGGGTGCTGTTCAGCTACCTTCATCCCACGTTGGACGATGAACATGGTTGTCACATAGGTTTTCCATTTTCTTAGTAGGTACATAGAGGCTTGGCACCAGCGGAAAACCTATCCACTCCGATTTACACAAAGAATCTACCACATGACGGAACATGCCTTTTCAGAAACAGCCCAACGCATACCAAACTGTCCCTAAACTAGAGACCTGACTGCCTAGACTCCTACACACTTAAACAAAAAAACGAGTAGAAACAGTGATTATGAAAGAGGGCAATCATCAGCCTTGCCAGAAAGTTAACAATTTATTACTCCCAGAACACACTCGTTCAGTGGAAAGATGGACACGCTCAAACGAGACCGACGTACAGTGAAAGGAGAGGACAAGGGAGCAGTTGAGTTGTTACTTTGTATTTCGTTTCCTCGAAATTCAACTACAAGAACAGGAAAATGAAGTCCGAAGCCACCGCTCTTTCCTCTTAACAGAACAACCGTCCCTCGTCTTAAGGATGGGGGACAACGGGAAGGGGGGAGGGGGGGTGCACAGGGAGGGGGGGGGGGGGGGGGGGGCAAATCACCTCATTACAAAAATAATCTTTGAGTGATACAAACTCTTCCTCGCCAATTCCAGGCTACTACCAAGAGTTCCCGGTGGCCTTCAGTTTCCTCTCTCGTTTTGTCTTTTTTTTGTCGGCGTCTTGTTTTTAGCTTTACGAGGTGGCAGCAGCGGCAGCAGTCGTCGTCGTCGTCGCGTTGGCGGCGGCAAAGGGGGAGAGGGGGGAGATGTGCACAAGGGTGGTGGTGAGGGGCGCCTCGACGTGGTGTGCACAGTCTTGCGTCGTCTCGTGGCCACACTTGGCCCCCTTCAGTCCTCGCCCTCGGACTCTGCGAGAAAGAACGGGGGAAGGCGAGGTTTGACGAGGCCCGGTCAAGCGTCGCCACGATGTCGCAAAACTACAGTCCCCGACCAACTTTTTCGGACGCAGATCGTTTAGACTTTTTCAATATATCGGACCTAAAGGAGGAACTGTGACCTACCCGACGCACAAAAAGACGAGCCCGATAGACGGGAATGCACGCGGTCACGGAGAATGGAATCACACAACAGCGGGTTAAGGGACAAACCGAGCATAGTCAACACCTCAGAGGCATAACAAGTTTGACTAACTTACTAAACCTTTTCGTGAAATGTCGGTGCCTCATGAAGACGAGCCCTCTACTGACACGACACACGTGCCTAATCTACGGTCAATTCTGCGTGACTGCGTCAAGATCCTATACACCAACAAGCCGTTTGCACTGAGCTAGCGTTTCCCACTGCATGTGTGCAGAAACCAGATTCGCAACAGATAAGACGTCTATGCACGTGCAGTGCCCACGTGTTCGTGCGCAGCCGACGACGGGCTAAGAATGCAGAACTCTGCCTCCAGGCTGCGGTCGTTGCCTTTTGCCGGGCTCCGGCTGCGCATACAACAAACCGTCATCGGAGGCAGAAGGCCCGATCCTTTGCCCGTCAGACTTCTCGACCCGCTGCTCGGGGTGCGTTCCTCACCTTCTTCGGCACTCTGGAGCCAGTCGACGAAGCGCTTCATCTGGTCCAGGAAGACGCTCTTGCCCTTGGGCGAGTGGGCCCCCTTGTACCACTTGAGGATCGAGTCCTCGCTGAGCACGTCCGTCTTGTAGAACAGGATCACAATCTTCTGGAAGACCTTCATGAAGTTCATGTTGTCGTAGCAGAACTCCTGCACCTTGACCAGCAGGGCCACCTCCGCCCTCGGGGTGGTGGTGAAGGCCTCCAGCAGCGGCGTGTACTGCTTCAGGTGCTTCAGGGCCTGGTCCGCCACCAGCTCCTCCTTCTTGTTCCAGTCCATGCCCGACATCTGTGTCGTCCACAGCAGCACCGCCACATCGTGCTCCGGCAGCGAGTACTTGGTCATGTACTCCTTCACGCTCGTGATGATCTGCAACGGAGGATCGCCGACCAAGTCAAATTTCATACTTTTATCTGCCAAATCCCGTCAAATCTGGATCGGAGACCGGTGCTTTGCCTCAAAGCGACCGAGGCAACTACGGGGGCCACCCACAGCCAAAGCAACATCCCCACCATCAAGTCAGTGCCACATACAGCCAAAGCAACATCCCCACTGTCAAGTCGGAGGATAGCTGCACCCCCTATAGCAAAGTGGGACAGTCTATCCCTGATATACCACATTTGCACGAATATAACGCAAATTATGTGCTCCAAAATGCACCTCGTGTCATATTCAGAATTGAGTTCATGCACGAGGCGCGCGAGTCTGGAGAAATCTATCTCTCCGCTCAATGCAGGACATCCCGTAGGAAAAGAAATGGGGGTGTGGAAAGGAATTTATTATCTATTGGGCCATGTGAAGGGGAGAAAAAACATAAAAAGCATTTTTACTGCTTTTGCATTTGAACAACGCAGGCAAAAAAGCACGCCACAGAAATGCAGCACGCCACACGGAAATGCGGGCACTGGCCAATTCAAGCCAACACAAGCCAAGCCAAGAGCAGGAACGGCATTTATGCAATTCTGCCTCGCATTATATTCGTGGTCGCGTTGTATTCGTGCAAATAAGGTATTAATTCCGCGACACTTTATAAACTGCATACCATATTTTCGTGCACATTACTTGTCCTCGCTAACTACCCACCTTCGGAAAAAGCAAAATTAAACCTTGCACATTGCCTGCACTAACCGCGCAAAGCCATGTCCAACTCTCACTAGGAACCCTACCTTTATTTTTAATACGCTCGTCCCAACAGTCGCTGCGGCTATCCGAGGTGCCTCCAGTGTTGCAGGTAGCGTCATAATCCTTGCCATCGAGGCAATTGCAGATACGGCACCTTTTGAAACGGTTCCGCGCCAATTCTGTCAACACGGCGCGATTGCCACCTCTTTTCTCCTCGACGAACCTTGCAAGGCTCTTTAAAGTTCGGGGTATGCACAGGTCTTCGAACGGCGGAATGATCTTCGTTCACGGCTAACCGTCTATAGACTATCTCTCTTCCTCTATTATCCCATGTGCGACTCTTCGACGTCGTGGCGGCTTTTAGCTCCGGCCTGCCACTCGGTTTTCCATCTCCTTGGCAACAGGTCCAACAACTGTTGGATTCTTTGCCGAAGAGGTCGGAACCCAAGAACCGCCGACAGCAACGAGGCTCCATGCGTTGCCGTCAAATCAACGGCTCAGTTTGGCTGCTTGGCTCACAAAAAAGAAAGATGGCTACCCGAAAAAAGGAGAAGGTGGGAAGAAGAAAGTCCCTAGGAGAGACTGGAGAAGAGGGACTATGAGAAATCTATCCCACGACTTTGCACGCATTGCAGAGAAGCCAAGCTGCCTGCCGCAACTCGAGTAAAACCCGCACCTCGACTTTGCCTTTGATTTTATATAAACTTTGACGGGAGTTGGACACGAAAAATTGTGGCATTTCTTGAGCACCCAAATTCTACCGATCGTTTCGTCCGCCAGGTAATGTTTTCCCAGTTTAAGCGCTACACTTTGAGCCTTGATTGAATTAAATTCGCGAGGAACGCGATCCTGTTTCCTCTTCTCATCTTTCTTCCACTGAAGACAATTTATTTTATTCTGGGTTTGGCAATCAAGCAGTTTTACGCCGCAATTTGTATGAAAAAACAAAGTCTTCGCACATTGCATACATATTATTAAACAGGTCAAAGAAACAAGAAGAAAATTTGCCAAAGAACACGATTTATAAATGAGCATTTACACGACTGGAGCCAATGGCTAATGGACGAAAAAGAGAAACTTCGATTAAATCTGAGATTTAACGAGGTCTCCAGCTCCAAGCATGATTTTGTTAGATCGAAGTTCAACAGTGTTTCAGTACATCCGAGCGCATTGATGCACAACTCAGTCTCTTTGTTAACTCTTTGTCATTTAGTTTAGTTGCCGCTGGTGTGTGCGCCACAGTTAAAGTTTCCAGGCTCCTGCACCGTGTTACAGCAACAACCACCATTTTCAATTTCCCTGCACTTCCTGTACACCACCGTATTGGATGTATAAGTGTAGCCTATACAAAAAAACATTTAGAACTACATTGCCCTGCAGTTCTATGCACTACGCTAACCCTTTCTGCACCGGTGCAAGTAAATCCAAGGAGCCTAATGCCGGAGGCAGGTAAGGTGTTCTTTGGGATCGAAAAGTTGGCCAACCCCTCACCTACATGAGATGCAGTGATAAGAAGTACAATTGTGAACTGCCATCTGGGCAACACGCGGGCTGCAGTCACATGGCTCAAAGCAGACTCTTCATTTGTCCGACCAACTCGAATGTATGCAGTCAGCCCGAGAGGTGTGAAGGAAGCACCAGAGGCTGAGGGTCTCACCTCCTTCACCCCAACTTCATTCTTCAGCTGGTTTATCACCTGCTGCTGCAGGTCCTTCTTCACTGAAGAAGCCTCCTGAGCCCTCTGAAGAAAAAGAAAACAACTGAGACCTGCAAAACATGAAGCTCAGGGAGACACAGACCTCAAGTTAGGTTGTTCACCACCCTACACACAAGATACACTAAAAGTCACTCAAATTAAAACGTAAAAAGGACAATCTAACTACAACTGTAAGGAGCTTCCAGAGCTTCATTCATGTTTAACTCTTACTTGCCAAAAGACTACATCAACTACAACACCAAGCTCCTTTCTGACCCCCATTTCTATGATCCAAAGATTATTGCAAACATGCCTTAGCTTCCGATTTCCAGTTGTGGTAAACACATCTGCCAACAGGCCGCAGCACTTTCCGCCGCATGTTCTAGTAGGCATGAACTTCCCAGTTTCTTGGCTTTGCGTTATTGACGAACTAGTACTTAGGAGTTCACATAACTAATAACCTTCTCATGGCATGCCCACGTCCACTAAGTCATTAACAATGCGAATTGCACCCCCGGTTACTTGCGTCGTAATTTTGCCCAAGTCCCCTCCTCCCTCAAGCTACTTTTATATTGGACACTTATCCACCCAAAGCTAGAATACATGTCAAGTATATGGGACACAGCTCAACATACTCCCATTGATGCAATTGAATCTGTCCAGAATCATTCGGCACACTTTATTTTATCTAACTATTTCCGTTTTGCTAGCGTTTCGTTAATGAAATCAAATCTCCCATTTTTTTATCTATTAATTTGAAGAAAAATTTTGCATCTCTCTCTCTTTCTTTCATTGCCCAGCTTTGAAACCGGAACTTAACTCGCAGCCTTCATATTTTTGCAGCAACAGCACAAGTATGTTTTTTTGATTCTTTCATCCCCAAAACCAGCTCAGAGTGGAAGCTCCCCCCTTCCCTTGAAGATTTGTCATCATTTAAATCTGCCATAACCGAATACTTTTCAAATTCCTGCATTTATTTGATGTTTGTAATTTTAAAGTATATTGCACCACTGTTGATGTATTTAGTCCATGTATCTACCATCTCTGTGATGCCCCATGGGCCTTGAGGGTATTCAAAAAAAATAAACCCACCGAAGCACGCTCTAAACCGGACGACATCTATTTGAGGATGCGGGGAAACGGCCTCGCTCGCACGGAGAGCTCACCTGGTAATCCAGGAGCTGCGAAATGCCGTGAGCCTTGAAGGTAGCCGTGAAATTTTCAGGGCTTCGCTTGCTCACTGGGAAGAACTCCTGCGGGGACAGAATGGAAGGCCGCTTTAACCCATCACGCCACAGTAACGGAAGATGCCAAGCTGCTTGCCATCTCCCAGATAAAGCCAGGGTTTTGCCGTAGAACCCGCGTTTCAGCCTCGACATTCACAATGCCTTGTCACACTTGTCGTTCTTGCGGAAAAGTGTACGCGTGGGCTTTCTCCACATGAAGGTCCACTCGCTTCTGACCTCGGTCGCAAACAGGACAAGGATGATGGCAACGTCCCCGGGTCGTCCCACCTCCAGCGCAAGCTCTACACCCTCGACAACTCTTCGAGGTCTCACAAACCCCACCCACGCATGCACAGTCAAAACATGACAGAAGGCAATGAACTCGTGCTGGAAGACAGGCATTCAAACAAGATGTTCCGCTGCTCTCATTCCAACGGTGACCTTAGACAATGTAACCGTACAACCCGAAAGAGCCGGAGCTTCCGTTCACTCACCATGAGCCTGGAGTCGATGCCCGACTTGCGCAGCACGGCCCACAGGGTGGAGGGGTCTTTCTCCTCCAGCCATGTCTGGAAGACGTCCAGCAGGAACTGCAGAGCAATTCCTGCAACGAGGCGCCCACCAACACATCGGTCTTCAGTCTTTAACCACAAAGACAATTCAATTCATTTATTTACTCCCATTTGTACATATGGGTGACGGACACAGGGAAAAAAGCTGCAAAATGTGCAGCTTGACAAAGCCCCTGCCCCCTATCGGCAGACAGGAAACGTTAACAGAAACATTTTAAAGGCGAAAAAACAAAACAGGCAGTTCTATGCAGGAGAAAAAAGTTTAAAAGTTAGAAGTGAATATTGTGCGTATTGTTTTCTTATTTAGCGCATCAAGACAGACATGGTGGTCTCTTAAAAAGTTCAGTAATGTTGGCAATGTATGCTGTAACATTTGAAGCCCATAATTTGTTCTAGGACGAGGTACTCTCAGGGACCCGGCGCTACGTACCCCGTATACCGTATTTTTAACACTTAGTCTAGAAAACCGCAGTAATGGGTGGTTAAAATACTTAAGGGATGCCGCGTATACTGTCGCAAGCTTATATTTGTAATATTCTTGTATTTTTATTACTTTATGCTTACAGAAAAGTGGATCGGTGTGTGCGTAATACGACGCATTGGCTACGAATCGAATTGCTCTCTTCTGCAATAAAAAAAGTTTATTAAGGTTTGTAGTGGTCGTGGTTGCCCACACCAGGTTACAGTAGGATATACAAGAATTGAACAATGCATTATAAATTAAGAGTTTAATACTAGATGGTAATGTATGGCGATGCTTATATAGAATTCCTACGATATTTGAAAGCTTAAGTGTAAGATTTTGAATATAGGAGTCCCATAACATATGTTCATGAAGAATTATGCCTAAAGTTTTAACAGTGCTTGCAAATTCAATTTCCAAAGAATTCAACATTAACTTTACATTAGGATTGCACACTCTACCTTTTGATTTAAAGATAACGGCTTTTGTTTTGGTTTCATTTATTCTTAGGGAATTTGAGACAGTCCATGAACTAAGCTTTTGCAGACATGTGTTTGCATCGGCTATCATTATATCAATATTGTTCCCTGAAAAAAATATACTAGTATCGTCGGCATACATGACAAATGAGGCGTTACTTGCAATAGCGACTACATCATTTATAAATAAATTAAAAAGCAGTGGCCCCAAGACACTACCTTTAGGTACCCCTGTTCGGACTGCTTTCAGCATAGAAGAAAAACCATTAATTTCAACTGTTTGCATCCGACCACTTAAGTAACTTTCAATTAAAGCAAGAGAATGCCCTCGAATGCCATAGAAATTTAATTTTTTAAATAGAATTTTTTGATTTATCCGGTCGAAAGCTTTTGAAAAATCGATAAATATCCCCAACGTTAAGAGTTTGTTTTCTATATTATTTAGAATAATTTCTTTTTGCTGTAGAAGAGCTAGTTCAGTAGAGCGACCTTTCCGAAAGCCATATTGAAAATCAGTAAATATCGAATTTTTTTCACAAAAGTTAAGTCTAGCGTGTATAATCTTCTCTAAGCCCTTAGAAAAAACGGGTAAGACTGAAATTGGTCTGTAATTGGACATGTCATTTCTATCTCCAGACTTGTATAAAACAGACACCTTCGCAATCTGCATACCCTTTGGAAAAACGCCAGTCGAGAGCGACAAATTAAAAATATGTGTGAGGTACGGCGTAATGATGTCAATCACATATTTTACCGGCCGCACCTGTATACCATTAAAATCAACACATTTACTGTTTTTTAGGTTTAAAAACACCGAACATACTTCACACTCATCAGTAGGAAATAAGAAGCAGTTTTCTGCTATGCGTTGAGTTAAACAAAGATCACCACTTTGTAACTGAACAGGGGAAAATAGATTCGTAAGATAGTCATTAAATTTCTTTGCTAACTCTACTCCACTGAAAGTTCTACCATTTATTACAAGTTCTTTGATAGCGTTTGCTTTACCAATAGCGTTTGCTTTACAAGAAACACAATACGGCATAGTCTGCATGGTACGGCCCAAACGCGATGTCAGCACTCCTCTGCACTTCGCTCAGGCGTAGTACTGACAAAGACCAGATTTAGCTGTCTCAAATTAGTGCATTCCAACCCATTATTTCGATGGCAGTCTTTCGGTCGACAAAGAAAAAAGAAAAAGTGTCTTCGAAATCCCTCGTACACCCTCTATTCCGTCGTTAAAAACTGGACAAAAACTTGTGACAGCCCCCATTTTCCCAAATGTTGACCACATTTTCAGTAGGGACTGGGCCGCCCTCGATTGTAATTTTGGGTGTTTTAGGAGGCTTAGTGTGCATAGCCACTCACCATCCTTCACGAGGTGGTCCTGCAGGGCATTGCCCAAGACGCTGGCGGGCACCTGGCCCCCCGCGAGCAGCACCGCAGTCACCCGCGCTAGCTTCTGCCTGTTGTCCGGGGTGAACCCCTTCAGGAAGATCAGCACCTTCTTGAACTCATCCTCCAGAGTCTTCTCCAGATACTTGTAACGTCGAATCAATTTTGTGATCAGCTGCAACCAAGCAGAACATCAGTTCAGCCAAGCCTCCTTAGAGTACCACTGCAATGCTTTCACCTTCCCTAAATTGGCAGCATTAATCGGCACACACATCCCGTTAACTACCAAGCCGACGGTGTGACGGAAGCTACGTGCTTGCTGGACCAGGCGCAACGGTACGCGGTGAAAAATTTGCCCCCTTCCCGCATTATCGTGGCAAAGGCAGCGAGTGGCAACAAAGAGTGCACTGCGTGTCGCTTCGTGTCGAGGTTGCACAGATGAACTTGCCTCGACAGTGAGAACACTGCCATGCACGACGTTTATGAAAGAAAGCTCTGAAAAAGCTAGCACTTTGATGGGAATGGAATGCCAAGTTTGAATTTCTTGAGGTCGTGCACCCCATCTTTTACCCTGCTACCTTGTGTCTCCGGAGGGCAGTGCGGTACACAGATCAGGCACGAGGGCTGCGTTAACATTCAGCCGGGAGTTCAATTTGTGAGGCCGTGAGAATGGTGACACAGCGCTCTCGTCCCATCTGCACCTTGTCTGATGCTCTTCCGTCACTGGAACGCATTACAGAAAACTGCTAGGATCCAGTCATATACCACCAAGGATGGAACTGGGCAAAGCAGCTTTGGAGCAATCTTGGGAGCAGAATAAACTACAGCTTCGAGCAGGAAGGGAGCAGCAAAAAAGAGGCCTTAAACAAGTTGGGAGCAGCATTCGGGCTTTTAAGAATGTCAAAATAGCGACTAAATGTGCCTGATGTTAAAAAGAACTCGAAATATTGCATGCAGATAACTCCAGTGAACTTAACCAATGGTAGTTTCAATTAACATTTTATTTAAAACATTTTTTACAAAATTAAACGAGTATTATACAAAACACATAAAGCAAAACTGCACATGATAGTGCGACACGTGATGGAACCAACTTGCGAAGAGGTAAATATACACACAGAGGCCGAAATAGCTTTCAGCTCCTATTTTCATATGCCTCGCTGCTCACCCGCCTTTGTTATGTTCCCTAGTTCTGTGCACGTGGCCTCAGGGCGGGTTGACGCAGGCAGAGGGCTTGCAATACAGCTTTCCATAAAAGCGCATTTATTGGTTTCTGTTATGCATGCACAGTTTCTGGCTGGCTGCAATTGCGAGCGAGTGATGGCTGGGCTGTGATTTTGCACGTGCGGACTGCAATATTTGTGATATTTATAAACAGTGGAAACGTCTATAGTCTCGCAAGTACAACCAAGAGGGAGGCGTACCGACTTAACTACACTTAAGTTCATCGCAATGTGGCGGCGCTGTTCGCTCCACCATTCAGATGAAGTGACTCCAGAAAAGCACGCAGCAACGGCAGCTCTACTTTGTTTCAGTTTATGTCCAGACCAGGGGTCTCCACACAGTGGGCGGCAGTGGCTTTGCCACCCACCACTCGATTATGCCACAGGATGACGATGCGATTTTGCTGCGCAGATGGCTGTAGGAAGTCTTACTCAGCAGGCCCAAGCCCTGCCACCTTCTCGCGTGTAATCAAAACTGTCGCCACTCTTTCAAACAAGGAAAGCGGAGCTGCATAGCACCGCCAGCCGTGGGTGCTCGGCCAAGGAGAAACAAAATAAACAGACTTGACAAATGCGCAGTAGCCTCTCCGCAGGCAGTAAGCTGAAGAGAGCAGGAAGTTTAGGACTTCTTTCACTGCTCAATGCTTGCTTGCACCGTGGCTTGCTCTATCCTCGGGTCTTCGCTCGCCTTTCCCCCCACGTTTCCTTCCCCTTTTTTTTCTCTTCTCCCCCAAGGCATTTTGGTTTTTGTTTCATCACCGTGGTGTGGCGCCATTCACAAGGCCGCAAATTTAGGGATCCTACACGAAGAGCATTCTGTCGGCAAGCCCAATCGTGCCGCACTGTAAACTACCCCCACACCCCCCTTTCCCCTTCGCTTGCATGGTGGTTATGCCCACCCCTGAAAAATTCTTGAGGAGAACCCTGGTTCAGACGCAGCCGATGCTACAAGGGCCGGCGTCAGGCATTGAACCGTGCTTGCACTGCACGACCGCACACTCTTGGCAGGGACACTGAAAGCCCGGTGCTCACGCATGTAGCACCATCCGAGTGGACAGACGAAGCAGAGCGAGCAAATGGCTTCAAAGGGGTCTGGTAGCAGAAGCATCGCAACGAGGGATGCTGTAACAACTGTTCTCGGCCGATACGAAATATAACCATGACAGCGACCTCCGGATACAGAGCTTCGGATTCAGAATCAGACCCACCGGCATGCCCTTTGGGCCGAAAGTTCCGATGTCAGTGCTGCCAACAGAAACTGCGAGACAGCTAATTTTGACGAGGCTCTTTCATAATTTAAGTTTGGGCGCACCTTGGCGCAATTTCGTTCTCATTTATACCTTTGTATCAGTGTGGCGCACAAAGGGTCATTAGGCGCACAACAGCGCAATTGGCACAGCAGTTCCATCCCTGTAATATATACAGAAAAACAGAGCAGCTCCCTACCTGGGCGTAGTTCTTGAGCACGTCAATGTTATTGGGTGCAGCAAAGATGCAGATGTCCGTCTGGGAGGGCTTGGCTACGTCCACATCTACTATCAGTGTGCCTCCAGGGGCTGCAACCAGAGTCAATGGCACCGTTGACGACCAAGGAGGGGCCGAGGAAATCGACAATGCTCAAGAGCCCCCGAAAGGACGCGCTGCATGCTTGGGCACTTGAAGATTTGGCTGTTTTATCTTCAGCAGTAGAGTCATTCATTAAGCTACTCAAGTACATATGGACATCACATCCTCCTGCTTGTTAAGACACCCCATGACACAACAGTGAGACATAACCAGAATCTCTCAATGCACACTCTGAAACGGAGATGTATTTCACAACTTCGTTCATTGCTCAAACAACCTGTCAGCGCGTACACACACATCGTGAAGTATGAATAATGAATCATCGCTATACTGGGCTTCAGGAAAAGAGCTGCGACGCATTTTGTCAACACTGGTTCACGTGACTGTACTTCGTTTCAGCATAACTTGGCAATGGGTAAATGTCCCCTGCAAGGTATTAATCAAAGTAATGAAGCCAAACACGTGACAGTTCCCCACAAGAGGAATGTACTCCGGCACTCCCGATTGGCTCCCTTCTGTTTTCCGCTTGCCAAGTTATGCACGAACAGAGCGTTGCCCTTGCACAAGCAGAGTAATGTTACTTCCCGCGGAAACTCACCCAAGATTCCACCAGCCAGGAGAATGTCGAAAATGACCTCTCCGTAGCGGCGGTAGTCTAGCTTGGATCCAGCAGCGTCCAAAAATTTGTGCACTGCGTCTAGGTCAGACCCAGTTTCCGCAAACCCTTGCAAGATAGCGTCTCTGAACCCTGCAGGGTCGTACTTCTCCTTCTCATCTGAAACGACAGCGGGGTACCAAGACTGTTTTAGTCAAGACCTCGGCGGGCACACGACAGCACTCAGTTTTCGCACAAAACTCGGTTGTTTGCCTCTCCATCAGAAAACATTCTAAACTCGCACAAGAATCTCCAATATTAAACCCCGCGTCTTTCCATGTACAGAAGCCATGTTTCCCAGCTCGAATGACTTTCGTTGCAACTGACTACGCCAGTCAGTGTAGTCAGTGGCATATATGAACACCAACTGGTGCTTGATTTTCACACATACCAGCCACTACTCTGAGTTAGGATGAGCCAGTGCTAGAGCAATCAACTTGTCAAAACTAAAAAAAGAAAAAAGAAGGAAGCAAGCGAAGGCCTGTACAGCCAATGTATGTCCCCGATCATGCTTCCAGATGTCTAGCATCGCAGGACACACCCACTATGCCTCGGAGGTTTGTCAACACCAAAAACGGTGCTAACGAAGACTCAATTGCATGCAAATTAACAGTAAAGAAGGCAAAAGGTTTCACCAGCATGACTGCAGATGGCATGCCACGACTAGAACCACATTTGTAGACCAACACGCTGCATTAGCTTGCATTAGATCACACCAGGTGTGGGCACAGCGCGTGCGCAGAAACTGAATTCGCGTGAAGTGTGTGTGCAGTGCCGTCGACAGCACCACTGCAGCCGCGCGTGACGTCAGGGCCGCGTGTTGGTCCATAAAAAGAGCCCCACATACAATTCTCTAATGTTACCAAAACCAGTCCGGCGTGCGAAATGCACAGCACGCATACAGTTCACTTTTAAAAGCAAGCAAAGCAGGAGCCTTATTGCAAAAGTGCTGGAAATGGCACTGGCCAAAAGCCCATTTCTGGAATTGTCTAAAGCTATTTCACTTGCATGCCAAGCCTTCACAAGAAACACCAGATTGGCAGCCCACATTCTGAAAACTGATGGAATCCCCAGAGATTCCCTTTGCCCCAATCATAGATGATTAAACAATTTTCAAAAAGCTCATTTTTTATTTGGGGGAACACCATTTCTTACGATTACAACAATTATTCAACATCTATCTTGCATGTTAGTGAAAACAGAGCCATTTTTTGTTCTCATAAAGAAGACTGCTTCCTACACATCCAGAGAACAGCTAGAATTGTCGCACTGGGGTCTATCCACTATCCTTTCAATCAAAGCCAATTTGAGCTTGGCATCCTTCTGACGTCACCACAACTACTGCAAAAGAAGCTGGCAACCTAACCTAACCTAACATCCCCCCCCCCCCCCCACCCCCTGAAGTCATTGCAACTCCTGCAAAAAAAACCTCCCCCACCCCCTGAAGCATGGAAATAAAGCCTGACCACTCCTCACCTCTTTTCCTGGTCTTGATGCGCTGACCTGATAGTGTCGGCTTCTCGGGTTTCTGACTCATACAAAAGCAGCTGCAAAGACAAGACACCCATGACCCTTCTGCTACCTGCCTTACACAATATCCTAGCCACATTGAAATTGTCTAAAGTGCCCACGTTGCAAATGGGCAATGGTGCTGCAATACTTATGCAACACTCAACTCACACTCCTAAAATGACAAACTTCAATTAAAAATAAACAAGCTCGGCATACTGTAGCTTGGCTAAACTAGCCCAATATACTGTTATTCAAATGGTTTCACAAAAATAAACGAATAGACAAAACAAAATTAATAACGGGTCAAGGCTGTACTATACTTCGTTTCAGCTTCGGTCCAGACGCAGCCAAAGCTACAAGCGCGAGCTCCGGGCTTTCAGCATCCCTGCCAAGCACGCGCGCTCGTGCAGTGCAAGCACTGTTCTGGGCCACATGCCCGCGCTTGTAGCATCGGCTGCGTCTGGACCGAAGCTGAAACGAAGTATAGGCGTCAAGGCGATGGAAAGCACCGGCTAATTGGTCTGCTGATCAACTAATTCACTGATGCCCCTTCAACACTGCATGGTGTTATGTATGAGGCACAGCTAAATGCCACTAAAAACAGCCAAGATTTCTGATTAAAATAGCACCTGCCAACCAGCTTAACCGTTACAGATCACAAAATTATCCAGCACCTGGCTAACCCCGGAACATATTCAAGTTTTTCACGTGTCGTTTCAAATCCGCACCAAGCTTCGAACGACGACACTTTCAGCCCGACAATTGATCGAGCACAAATATGCAAATCCAATCCCCTTTAAGGAAAAAAATAATGCAGCCACTAGCATCACTAATGAATACTAATGAATACGCCTGAGAGGAAGAAAACTGGAACCGCGGAGGTCACCCAACGGCACCAGCAGAAAAATTTGAGACGCATGAGTTGGCGTCGTCGACTGGACTGGTTCGACCACTGCTGCGAGCACTGCCGGAAAGGCCACCCTCTCCCACGCCCGAGGCTCACGTCGCCGTCGTCATCGGAGGCGTTTGAAACGGTCACGAAGGGCACGCGGTTCCGCCGCGAATCCACTCAAAGCTGAGACAATACCGCGGCTGCCTTCAACGGAGAAAAACTCGCACGGACAGGGGGCTCCGTTTTAGGCCTCGTCCAAGCCACACATCATCGAAAACCGCGCGAAGGACGCTCTACCTCTTTCGCACAATGCCAGCGGTCGGGCGCCGGCTGTGCTTCGTTACTACTTGGGCAAAATATATAAAAGCGAGCTTAATAACACCCGAAAGACGAGTCACCGCTTCTCCAAAGGGGCTGTAAGATAAGGCTAAACACGTCGTAGAAGGACGCACAAAACTAGACCGGCCCAACACGTTTACGATGCCTACATTTATCTGGGACGACGCCACGGACCAACCGCGAGGCCTATCAATGCGTAGTAAAAAGCTCGCGACGTCAACGCGGTTAACACAGCGAACAAATATCTTCCGAGTAGTTTAAACGCGGAAAAAACTGTCTCGCACGAAGGGCAGATTTAAAGCGTTTAATGAACCCAGATTTGGTCGACACAAACCGGGTGCAAACGGAGGTGACAACGCGCTTCAACGAGGCTTAATTTGATTTGCGAAGTTACGGCCCCGTTTCACCGATGGCGCTCGTCTCTGTTTCGTTGTTTAGGAATTAATAAAAGCCGACAAGCTTTCGGCACTGGTTCCTGCTATTAAATTCCGTTTCGACAAGTGACAAATATGGAGAAAATACTCACTGAATGTTTCTCCAAGTTCAGCCCTAACCCCGATTCGACGTGCGGTGGACGAGCGCTGCTGCTGCACACCTAGATTTACGTAATCATTTTTCTTCATTTAAGAAAGCACAACAAAACGTGCATTTTGAACTATTATATTTATGTCTATAAATTAATAAATCACTCACCTGTGTTTCTGATTGAGATTATTTTATTTTTTACCGCGCTTGTTTGTCGCGGAGTTTTCTTTTTAAAATGGCGGCCTCCAGAATGTTAAAATGGCCGCTCACTGCGGTAACCTCATGCTGCGGCTTCGCCTGAATGTGTTCAGCAACGCGGTAAGGATGTCATAACTATGAGGATTCGTGTTTGCACATGCATGCTCACAACATTAAGGCTTATTGAAAGTACGATTATTGCCTATCTATTTACTACATCGCTTGTAATCGCAAAATGTAATGTGTCCCGAACCAAACATTTGAAATGTGCGTCGCAGGTTGGAGGATTAGCTATTCGAGCGACGAATCTGTTTTCGCTGCCAAAGAAATCATTATTTACAGCATCCTTATTTGTTTTTTGCAGCTACTTCGTGGTTCCGGGCAAGCAGTCTATGTCCAGCAGAGGTTTGCCAAGCACTGGAATCCGAAATGGAAGAAGCAAAGAAGAGAAAAGGCAAGCCCGAACCTAAGCAAACTTGATTACGCAGATACGAAACTGAGGGCAACGTTGACACACAACACTGTCTCGAAGACGGTGTGGTCAGCTGCCTCCCACGTCACTTTTAATAATTTTTGATGAATGATCGATTAATACAGACCGTAACTTAAAGTACGCTTAGCAGTAGTCACTTTGTTCAAGCGTATAAGCCAAACCATTATTCACATGGACGACAGGGACACTATGCATTTACCTAAAATTCGCGCGTGCAGCTGATTTATGCATCGTTTTCGCCCGTTAAATTGACCCAATATTAAATCATGTTACACGTTGCTCTCTTTCCTCTTTTGGAGTTTTAAACCCCCTAAAAATTTTGCGCCATGTCGTTGGTCAGTTGCCGATCGTCATGCATATTCAACGAAAGTTTGAGCCATAAGCGAACTTCGGGTGCGTATAGTATTAACGCGGGTTTTGCGGGACACAAGCTCGGTCCAACAAGCCAAGTTGGGGCGCGCACACAAATCAAATAACTTTAACCGTTTCCCGATTAATAAGAGAGACCTGGACTGACACCATGCCCCGTGCTGCCTCTGCTCCGTAGGTCATAAAAGTAGAGCTGCCTGACTTCGAGCAGTTCCGGATGAAAGACAGACTCACTCCCGAAGAGGCACGATCAAAACTCAAGGAGAAGGGCGTCGCTCCCGGAAGGGTGTGGATGGAGAGGCCAATCTACACAAGCTGTTCGGGTGAGCCGACGACTGGCATCGGCACGCCGGGTCGCAAGGACGCTCCTCCGACGCCGAAGGCCAAGCGTGGTCGTCCGTCGACGTGATCCCCACGTCGTAGTACTATTACTAAGGTGCCTTGAATGCGTCTTCGACCGGTGCGTTCGGCGAAACATATTTCGTCCTTGCATCAAAAGTGTCCCGAAGTGGCAACAAATGATGTCGCAGAAGCTAGAGTGTCACACTGTCGGATGTTGCGATACCGGGAGTCGGCGCTGGAAGTCCCGATAAAAATTACGAGTGAACGCGAGCGTTCCTGTAGTCGCGGCGTCCCATGCACCGACTGCGAAAGCTTCCGCGGTACGTCGAGGCGAAGAGCGACCCACAGGGGAACCGGCGACGACGCAACACTTCTGCGACGTCGTTGGGCAGAAATCGAGGGACCACCTTTTTGGACGCAGTGGACGCACCGGCCGGAGATGCGTGCCAGGCACCATACTATTACTTAAACACTTACGAAAATGCAGGGAGTGTGCGGGCGAGTTGGTGGATGTCGGATAAAATCACCCGAGATTGCGATAAAAGATAGGAAACTTGGTAGAAGAAATAGGTAGAGGGAAAACAGAATGTTTCCTTTCCCCGTCTTCTTTTTGTTTGCAACGTTTCCCATCTTTTATCGCGGTCTTGGGCAATTTTCGACGTAACTAAAACATTGTTAGTGCGGAAGATATTTGAATGAAAGTGAAGTTGGGGCTTGCAAGTACTCCGTTCACCCCTGAGCTGTCGGCGAGGTAGGAACTATCCACTCGCCGGACCAATGAACTGCCTCCCTTTCGTCACCCGACCTCACTCTTTGCGCGTGGGTATGGGGCAGAAGCACGATCGCGTGGCAAAAGATTGACTGGTCCAGGGGGTGTGCAGCTTCCAGCACACTATTAGCTACGGGGCGAACGATAGCTGTAGCATTGCTACAGTGCCTGGAAAGCGTCTCCGACTGGTCCCAAAGTGGCAACAAATAGAGTCGTGAGAGCCGGCGTGTCATGCTGTAGGATGTCGCGACCCCAGCGTTTGTCGTAGAAATGCCAGTGAAAAAAGACGTTAACAACTTCCTGTAACGCCAATTTAGAGCGCAGCTCTTGAGGAGGAGGAGGGGAGGATACGGAGGGGACAGAATGCCCCTCCTCCTCATCCGTAGCCTCTCCTCTTTTCTTCCTCCTTCTTTCATGCGCGAAACGCACATCGTTACGGGATGTTTCGGCGCGGTGCCCAAACGTCCGCGCGGTGCATTATGGGAAATGTCTCATAATGCACCACGGTGACGTTTCGGCACCACGGTGACGTTTCGGCACTGTGCTGTAACGTTTGCATGGTGCGTTATGGGAAACGTCCCATAATGCACCACGGTGACGTTTCGGTGCGGTGACGTCTTGGCACGATGCTGAAATGTCACCGCGACGCATTATGGGATGTTTCTCATAATGCACCGCTCAGTTACGCTGATGGCGACGGCGACACCGCTCAAGCCGGAAACGGGCGCTTAAGAGCTGCGCTCTAAAATGTAAGCAGACGTAGGGCTTGCCGCCGTCACGGCATCTCGTCTCGCGCCTGCTTTGGTTTCTGTCGGCCGTCCGGCAATGGAGTGGCCAACGGCAGGCTAGGCGGTGCTATTGTCGGTTACAAGTCAAGAAGATAGGAGAAGCTCCTCCCACAAGCATGATGCACCCGTTTCAAATCCCTCTGCAGTCGAAAGAATAGTTCACTGGAAAGGCCCCTTGTTCCGCTTCAATGGATAGATATTGGCTACAGAGTGATGCCAACTTGTCTCCGACCCCCACTTTTTAAGAAAGCGACCTTCGTATTCATCGGAGAGGGAACCGAGCCCCTGAAAGTAGCCTTTGTATCCATCGAAGGGGGAACCTAACCTCCGAAAGTCGTATTTGTTTCCATCGGAGGGGGAAAACTCTAATCTCCCTCTCGTGGCTTCCACAACGCTAAGTCAAAGTCAAAAGATAAGGCAAATATTTACAGAAAGGCAAGACCCTCCTCCCGCGTTGGCCGCGACGTCACGGAAACGATGGGACGCTATTGGATGCGGAGGTGGCGGAGGGATATATGAATCCCTTTGAGGGATATTTGCCACTACCTTCTTCATCTGTAACTTACTGTAGCTACCGCTCGTTATAAAGGGTATGGCCGTTGGCATCCGTCCATGCGACGGGCATCCGCAGCGTCTATCACCGCCCCCATGCCACTGCCAGGAACGTGGCAGGCGGCAGCCTGGAACTTTTTGACTTCGGTAGGTGGTAGTTGAGGGACCACTTTTGAGGCTGCGGTAAGCACGTGCGGAGACGCGCTCCAGACACCACGACCATGCCACTGTCATTGCACTAGTCGGATCCGTGCCGACGGAAGCAACGCAGACGGGACGTCACACACTACTCACACTACTTTAAGCGGGCTTATGTCCCGTCAAATTTAGCGGAACGCTACTACAAGTCACGTACTCACGTTGCACGACACAGTGCTACGCGACGTTTCGTTACACTATGAAACCCAGTAATACCGGATCAAATGTTGTGGTTGACACCGTGACGTCACATAACACTATGACTTCACGCCGCGAGTCACATGACACTGTGGTGCCACGTGACCTCACATCATATGACACCATGACTCAATAGCGTGATGTCATTACCTGATGTCATGTCATGTGCCGCCAGCTTCAGTGTTGTGGTTTACATAAGAGAAAAGTCCCCTCACTGTAGGATAGAAAATAAGCAAAATCGTAAACGTGTAGTTGTCTTTTTGTGTCATGCCCAGATATGCGTTTATATGTCAGAAATGCATTCTGCATACAGGAGTCTCAGGCAATAGGTCAAGAGTGCCTTAATTTAGATACATGGTATGTGCCAAAAAAAAAAAAAAAGCACCGTCTGAGCTTTACAAATTTAAATTTTCAGAGTGCATTCAACCGATTGCTTTCATGCAGTGAGATACTGAAATGTCACTTTTTCTGCTGAAAAAGCTTTCCAGAATTTTAGATGCGGACAGGCAATTGTTTCGAGTTTATACAGGACTGGAGTTGCTTTGAAATTTTACCACGTTAAGTAAACCACAAAAGTATGGCTCACCACAGCCATGCATCAATCGTTTATTCCATGGAATTTCTATGTTCCTACGCTCGTTTGATAAATCACAAAAAGAAAGATTTTTTTTTTTTTTTTGTGTACCCACTTGGTTGTCCCTTGGCTACTACTACCAAGAAGTAAACTGATTCTGTTTGTTGCCATTGTCTGGTAATGGCATTTACCAGAATTGCTGCTGTATGTTAAAAGGCATGAGGAGCACACATTGCATCGTTACATCCAGTCCCTAATATGTACTGTCTGTTAGTTTCTTGTTGGCCATTCCAACATTGCACTTACTAGAGCTAATACTTTAGCAGTGGAAAAACATTGACCACAACATACCTTTTCTTTATTCATAGGCGGTCTGTTCGATCCCTACGTGCCTCCTGAAGGCGACGGCAAGATGTCCCTCCTGTCGCAAGAGGTCAGTGTGCTCAGACATACGTGTTTTTCACTACATGCTGAAAGGAAATCACACTCACAGGAATCATCTAGACTTTTTGAAGACTCTAGTTTACTTCCAAATTTTGGTGCACAAGCACAATACCCAAAATATGTGTGCAAGATCATGACTGAAAAAGCGTGCCCTCATATGCTTTTATAGAACTGTGTACATTGTAAAGTGTTTGTGAAAAAATTCCGAGCACACCTCACCACTTCTTATGAGTTGTGAATGCGAAAGCATGAATGTCGTTCTTCCGCTCCCTTAGTTTGTCTGCGGTGTACTGGCGTGGACGTTTTGCTACTGCCGAGGTTGCGTCCGCCGACGATGGAGATGCCTCAGGCGCTGCCATGTTCCTCAATGTCGAGGGGAACAGAAGCAACTGCAGCCCCCCCACTCCCCACCCACCCATGGCAACGCCTGACATGAGGGCGGCGGCCGAGCACGCGCTTTCGTGAAGCGGCCGCTTTTTAGGAGCCTTTTTACTCAGCCAATGGGAAAATAGGCATATCTTTCACATTTGTTTTTGCGGTTACAGGCGCCGCCGGCTCCGCTCCATGGGGTAGATAATGCTTTCGCATTAATAAAAGTTACCGTGCAGGCTAGCTGGTGATGCATAGTTACTAAGCGGAAACCCAGAGACATGAGACACAGACAAAAAAAAGGGAACTGGACAATGTCTCGAGAAGTCGCTGTTGAGAAATTGTTGTCCTGTCCCCTTTTTTTTGTGTTTGCAGCAAGGCACAAGGACAAGAGCAAGCCTCGCTCGATTTTAGCTTGAAGTGCCTTGGTGGCAGAGTGCATTAAAATAAGAATCCATTGAACCGTCTTTATCGAAAAAATAATGATGCTCGATTCAATGTATAGTGGGGTGAGATCACAGTTTCAATACTATAATACAATTCTGCTGCTAGTGACACTATAGTTGAACTTTATTGCTCTCTGCCAATTAATAGAATCAGCTGAATTTTTAGTAGGCAAGTTAAGTGATTGTAGGTGTTACAATTCATTGGTTGGTTGCTTCTTTTCTGGACCAAATTTTTAAGTCCTTCTCGCCATACTGATGATACCGTATCTATAAAATCTGTTTACATATTTAATTGCCTCTTGTCCTTGCCAAGTGCTTTCTAGTTGGTCTGTTGTGACCGTCCTCTCTATTCTTGCATTTCACTCTTGAGTGCTCCAGGGAGAGGCCTGACTGAGGAGACATTTTCCAAGCATAATTAAAAAAGGATATTACCCGTAATATCCCGAGTCATCGCCCACCCCCTTACCACCTGAAATTCATTAAAAAAGTGGGGTGGGCCATGTCTCGGTGGGTGAGCACAAACACTTGAAAAAAAGCGGAAAAAAACTGCCTATTTTTCTCTGCGTATCTAGCGCTGATGCACAAGAGATACATCAAACTCAAAACTCGATTTAATTTCATTGTTTTATAGAAAAAAATGCTCACGAAAGAATATTTTACTATAGCGAAGTCCGTTGCTTGCATACGCGCTAGAAACATTGCCGATCTGCATATAGCGCGAATGTTTGTTCCGTGAAAGAATGTCACCACTATGTTCTCTTAGTTAGTAAAAAAAAAAAAAAAGAAAGAAAGAAAAGTCTACAAGAAAATAGAAAAACCGATCAGGCGCAACGAGCGAGCGAGCGAGCGAGCAAGCGGACCAAAGAAGCGACCAAGAGCAATGCTGGAAAAGCGGGAAAGCCGGCGGTCGCGTTGGCAAATACTTTGGCGTCGGGCCAAGTTGGGCGCCTTGTCAATTGCAAGCTCTTGCGCAACTTTCTTGTTTGGTGCGTACATGCGTGCGTCGGTGCACGGCGTGCTATCAATGCATGGTTGGGACGCTCTGCAAACGTCTGTGTAGGGCGTTCCAACAAAGCTTTATTTACGCGTTGGCTTTGCCTAAAATATTGCACAACCGCGGTCGCGACGGGCGGGAAGAAGGAGCGGGTTCGCGGTGACCTTACTTCGGCGGAGACAGACTTTGACCTAACACTCCGCGGTTACATTAACAAACTCTTATTTTGTTTTCTCCATGGTTTTCTTTTCGCACGGATACACGACCACTTTGGGGTCGCTCACGGATGTAAACAAAAAGAAGTGTCTTTCCCTCCTTTGTTTACTTTGTCACGGACGTCCTCGAACTGTAAGGTCCGCGGCCGCGTCATTCGGGTAGGATGAGTGTTCGCGGATCGCAGAGTCCGCGCTGGGGTATTTGAAGGGGTTGGGGATGACTCGGTGTTTTTTTCGGAAATCGATATTGGCCCAAAAAATGGGGTGGGCGATGGCTCGGGGATGGGCGATGACTCGGGATATTACGGTACTTAAAAATAAAAATTTATGCGCAACACCTGGAGTTAAATGTCAGAACTAGAAGTATCGAACACAATGGCCGCTCGGGCAACGACACTTGCATCGAGCAAAAGCTGCGTCTGCAGACCAGTTGATCGTGTGTTCGATTTCGATTTGAACGGGCGTGGCATCGGCACGTTTCGACGTAATCACCGCTCACAGATGCGTGTCACGCACGTCACTTGCTCTTGACATTGTTGACAGGGCGCCATGCAAAGGATGCGCCGCCTCGAGAAAAAAGGCCGATCGGTGATGAACGTCCGCAAGATCCGTTCCTACGAGGACGACTTTCACCTGGCGGAGTTTGCGGAGCAGGCCCAGCAGATCTACATCGACGTTCACCGGGCACTTGCCGAGTGAGTCAGCCTCCTTCGTGCTGTTTGTGGGCATAGCTGTTCGACATTGCCCCGTAATCAGGGTGGCTAGTTGTGTGTCTCTATTACATTAGGATAATAGACACTGAAGATGTACACCGAGGAAGTGTTTCAAAATGCATCTTTGGCACGTCGAAACGCAAGGAGGGGCATGACAATCAGAGGGCAATGTAGAGAATGTGCGGGGAATGTGCGACGAGGAGGTAGCCAGGCGTGCACCATCTTTCGTTGAGGTTGGGGGGAAACAAACGCATGTAAGCTCATCTGGGGGGTAAAGAAATACAAGGAGCAGACAAACTTCCACAGCATACATATTATAGGGGCACCAGTATAGGAGAAAGATTTTAAAAGCAGAGAAAAAGTAGGGCTAAAATAGACGAGGGTCACAAGAAAGAGAGAGCACCCATGGCACCTTCTGTGTGCAAGTGAGCTGGTGTGTGCTGAACATTTTGAAGCAACCCTAAACAGGTACGCGAAAGGTGACACCAAGAGAAGGATATTGTTTCATTGTTTTCCTTCTCTTCTTTAGTTGCTTCAACATGTTCAGCCTGCTGCAGGAGAGATGTAGCTGATATCGCTGTAACTGCATGTGAAATAGAACAGGAATGGTAGATGGCTGGAACAAGTGTAAATCATAAGAGCATGTTGATATTAGTTATTTTGCTGAGGGTCATGCCATCATTGTTTAGGCCACAGACTCCCAGATTTGGTTTCCCAAGTTATTTCGATGCATTCTTGGAGCAGCTAGGTACTCTCAATTATTGCTACTCCCAGTCGAGTGTTTGTTCAGTGTCCAGAGTTTGATTATAGTTAATCCAAATACCTCCAACTTGGTTCCTAGTATATGCGTAAGCATTGTGGGTGCAAACTCTCCAGCTGTTTTACGAGGGGTGCTCATAAAGTTCATATTATCACTGCGAAGAAAGAGAGAGCTGGAATCTCGAGTGTCAGTGGTGAGGTTCGTCTATCACGAGACATGAACTATCCAAGGCGACATACTTCTCCCACCGATGGCTGAGCTGGCAAATACCCTGGTTGTAGAAGTTCTAATTTCTGACTCTTGAAGAACCCTGCCGTGCAGCGGGTTCTTCATGAGAGGAAGAAGGCAGAAGTCACTGGGTGTCAGGGTGTAATGAAAGGAGGCAGAATTTCGTAGCCTAAAGCAGCCGCATGCGTCACTGTCTGCTGCGGAGAATGAGCTGGTGCATAATGGTGAACCAGGCACGCAGCCAGGGTTTTGTTTCGGGGGGGGGGGGGGGGGGGGGGGGGGTCGGTCAGGCTGTCCATGACAAAATGCTGTATGAGGGGGAGGGGAGGTCTCAGCAAAGTGGAAGATTCCAAGGGGGGGGGGGGGGGGGGGGGGGGGGGGGCGGGCGGGCCTTGTGGGCCTTCCCACTGGCTACGTGCGTGTGGTGAACCAAACGCACTTCCTTCAACAGGTTCCAGCGACGCGTGATAACCTCCCGTAAGCTAGTCTGGAAGTGCCGTTAATATTTATCTGTGCCTGTTTGGCCCTCACGGGCGTAATCTGTTAGGAGCAAAACATTGTAGTCTCAGAATATAGTAATGGTCAACTTCCCCGATGACAACTTCATTTTCGCCTTTCTTGACGGTGTTCAGCCCGCATGCTCCACTTTTGTCTTGTTTCTTTGTCTCGAGGTTATTTTGGTATATCCAACACTCATGCATGGTGATCAAGTAATCAAAGAATTCGTCAAGGTTGGCTTGGGAAAGCTGCAACATTTACATCATAGATTCCTTTTGGGCCGGTTTTTGTGTAGGCATGAGCAGTCATAAAATCCAGTGGACAGGGACCTTCCTTATCTGCAAAGCATTAGGCATTGTGAGAGAAACCTTTTGAATGTGCTAAAACTACAGGAACGTAGGCTTGTCCTGCAATGCACGTTTTAGCGGTATTCTTTTTTTTGCTGCCAATAACGCAGACTTTATGAATGCCCCTTGTATTCCAAAAATGAGTGGAGAGAAAGTGTCCTCGGTTGCCACTGACGGTAGCCACTAGAGGTTCATTGAAACCAAGAAGTTTGAGAACCTTTCGATTGGGTCATGAGCGCTGTGCACAGTGACCACTGCAATAGACCTTTGCAAAAAAATCCCAGGAAACCTCAGGGTTATCCAGTCAGGCCGACTTGGACGCTTCACATCTCCTGGAAGCAGCAGAATTCATTATATCTTGTCATCTGGAGTGCAGAACACACGAAAAATGAAATAAACACAAAACAAGCTCATCATATACTCCGTTTTGCTTTCCTTCTGTGTCACTTAGGCTTTGTTTTAGTGTTTCCAGTAAAACAAAACACTTCTCACAACCATTTCACTTTTCCAAGCAACAAAAATTTAGGAAACTATTTTAATTTTGGCAGCTATTTCTACTACTACATAGTTCCCAGTGAAAACTAGAGCCACTGAATGTTCCAAGTACTGCATTCGATATAATCCGCTTTCACCGCAGAATCGACCCGATGCTGGCCATCCTGAAAGCGGGAAAGGAAATAAAGCAAGTAACATATGTGAAACATTTGTGTGGGAACCCCAAACGGCTGGTGAACTATAATCGATCGAATGGTGATAAGTATGTTGGATTTTGCTGGGGCTTTCTATCTCAAGTAGCCTATTACCTAGTCTTCAGAAGGGGAATGCGAGCACGTCTGCCTGGTGGCGACCAGGCTCTGCCAGGTTTGCCCATCCTAGTTCGATTAAATTATTCGGCGCTGCCATTTTGAAGCTGTCGATTGCTCTACTGTGATGCGGCTCTGAAACAAAGCTGAGGACTTTCAGTACTGTATGAACATTCTGTGGTTTTAGTGTAGCGACAACTATCTGCATGCAGATGAAGATTGAGAAGTGATTTTGGTTTTTACTTCATAATAACCGAGTATTATTGCCCTAAAAAAAGAATGTTGTTAAACCAAGGCTGCAACGGCTTGAATGAAGCCTTTCTGGCTAGCTGGTGGCTGTGCAAAGGGTTTAATAACTCCCAGCCAGGGGGGAACGAGCGACCACCTCGGGTGGTGTTATTGAAGCTATTGTAGCCCCGAGAGTAATAGCTCATAAATGTTTGCTTTTCAGGAAGAATAAAGACAAGCTTCACGAGCTGGTGACAGAAAACTGCTATCCAGTAAGTTGTCTGTCTTCTCTTTATTGGGTCTCCTTGCACATAAACGCTGATAGTGCTCTCAGTGAAAACGTTTGGGTGGAGCTTCAATTGACAAAATGTTGCCATGCAGAGGTTTACTGTTCCTTACTCATTTTTGTCTGCTAGTGTGTTAAACTGAACAGCTACTGTGTCTTGCCTTGGAGCACAGTGGTGATGTCACTGTTTTCTTCAGGTGGGCTCGTGCTAGTATTGGCCATTGGCGAGGAGACAGAATTATAGTGTGTGCTCTTTCCAGTTTGTTTTCCCCAGAGCCCGGTGTTTACCCAACACAAGGTCGGTGGACATGATTCTTTACGTAATGTAAAAAGGCAATGAACGGAGTGACGTTTTGGTTTTGAAAGCAGTCGTCGGAAGATACAAGCTTCCGGCTAATTTGGCCTTTGTGCCGAGCAGGTGCTGGTCACGTGTACGATGCATGCTGTGCTGCTCACGTAGGCCGGAGTGAGTACAAAGGAGCCTCTCCACGGGCGATGGGAGAACATGAGCCTGCGTCATTGCCTCTGTTATCCCTATGGGTGTAGTTCTAAAGTTAGCCGCTTCAGGCACAACGTTATATCTCCTTCCCATTACTATGCCAGCGCAGAAGCCAGGGTGCAAATGATAATTGACTTTTAGTTGCTGTACTTCTCATCATTTCTGCTGTGGTACCACTGGTTGACTTCTCTTAGAGTTCCTGTATAGGCTCCCTACCGGAGCCAGAGTTGCTCATTCATACCCGCAACGCTGGCTTTTCTTGCATGGTTTGAAATTCTTGCCCGTCCCGCGACTAAGTTCAGCAAATAGCGACGACGCGCGTTGGCAGTGCGCGGCGCACTTCTCCTCCTCCTTACCTGGAAAACAAGAAAAGAGGAGGCAAAAGCAGGGGAACATATGCTGGGGCGCGTGCAACGCTGGCGAAGCGGTTGTATCGGTTGCTTTCGTGCACGGCACTTAGATTTTGCTCCTCGCATGGTTGGATCTCGGCGAATAGCGGTGCGGTAGAGCACAGAAAGCAGACGCGCAACTCTGGCTCCCGTAGGTAGCCTATACAGGAACTCTAGCTTTTTTGCACTGGTAGCTTCGCTTGAGGTACAAACCTTTCCTCAGTATCTCTTGGTCCTGTTGGCTTCATTTCATGTAAGTGATAATGGCCTATAAAACACGCTTCAAGTTTATATTCCAGTGGCAGTGCATTAGGTGCCATTTCGCAGAGGTACTAACTGATGCTTTATACACAAAAAGTGCAGGCGATGCAGTTATTATAGCAGCACTGCAAACTTGCACAAGCATGATTTGCAATGGAGATGACAAAGGAAACCATAATAAAATTTAAAAATGAATAAAATACTACCATAATATCCTGAGTCATCGCCCATCTCCGAGCCATCGCCCACCCCATTTTTTGGGCCAATATCGATTTCCGAAAAAACACCGAGTCATCGCCCACCCCTTCAAATACCCCAGCGCGGACTGCGATCCGCGAACACACATCCTACCCGAATGACGCGGCCGCGGACCTTACAGTTGGAGGACGTCCGTGACAAAGACGAAGGAGGGAAAGACACTTCTTTTTGTTTACGCATTTCCTCCGTGAGCGACTCCAAAGTGGTCGTGTATCCGTGCGAAAAGAAAACGATGGAGATAACAAAATAAGAGTTTGTTAACGTAACCGCGGAGTGTTAGGTCTGTCTCCGCCGAAGTAAGGTCACCGCGAACCCGCTCCTTCTTCCCGCCCGTCGCGACCGCTGTTGTGCAATATTTTAGGCAAAGCCAAAGCGTAAATAAAGCTTTGCTGGAACGTCCTACACAGACGTTTGCAGAGCGTCCCAACCGTGCATTGGTAGCCCGCCGTGCACGGACGCACGTATGTACGCACCAAACAAGAAAGTTGCGCAAGAGCTTGCAATTGACAAGGCGCCCGACTTGGCCCGACGCCTAAGTATTTGCCAACGCGACCGCCGGCTTTCCAGCTTTCCCAGCATTGCTCTTGGTCGCTTCTTTGGTCCGCTTGCTCGCTCGCTCGCTCGTTGCGCCTGGTCGGTTTCTCTATTTTCTTGTAGACTTTTCTTTCTTTTTTTTTTTTTTACGAACTAGGAGAACATAATGGTGACATTCCTTCACGGCACAAACATTCGTGCTATATGCAGATCGGCGGTGTTTCTAGCGCGTATGCAAGCAACGGACTTCGCTATAGTAAAATATTCTTTCGTGAGCATTTTCTTTCTATAAAACAATGAAACTAAATCGAGTTTTGAGTTTGATGTATCTCTTGTGCATCAGCGCTAGATACGCAGAAAAAATAGGCGGTTTTTTCCGTTTTTTTTAAGTGTTTGTGCTCACCCACCAAGACATGGCCCACCCCACTTTTTTAACGAATTTCAGGCGGTTGGGGGGTGGGCGATGACTCGGGATATTACGGTAGTTTGCTTTGGTTTTCTGGACACTTTTGCAGCAATAAGCTAGTCGGCCGTGCAACCTGGGACCCCAGCTTCTGCAGGGCTGAAAGTTTTATAATAATAATAATTATAATAATGATGATGATAATCATGTTGATTTAAAGTACCAAAAAACAAACACAAGGGCCTTTAGATCGGTGAACTTCCACGAGAACACTAAGTAAGAAACGAAAGTATACATGATTATTATATAATATACAAGGTATACTTGCACGCTAACACAAAAATATTACGAAACACAAAAATGAAAATTAGTCTGTAAAGAGTGAATTATTCAACAGGTGAGAGAGCTCGGAAGCTGCTGAGCACATGTCGAGATCTGGAGTGGCAACACCTTTATAAAGCGCCTGGATCTGAGAAAGAAGTGAAATGTTGGACAATAAACAAATATATATATATATAAAAAAAAGTCTCTGGTAGAGCAAAAATTGACACACAAAATAACTTTACAGAGGAGCCAAGCCGAGTCACTAGCACTATTTGTGACCTTATGTAGAAAAACTAAGTCACGAGCCTCCACTCTCTGGGGCAAAAGTGAAAGAGAATTTTCTAGCAGATATTCGTAGTCACAATAAATACGGCGTTCTACATACCCGTCATAAACTAGACGGATTAAAGGACTAGTGTCTCCAATCACACTCCCAACATCACTCGGAAGTTGGGAGTGCGATTTTTTTTCTCCTTTTTTAGTTTGCTTAAGGACTTGCAGCCGCTTATGACCGAGTGCCTTTCAACCTCTCGCGATCTCTCAGAATCAGAGAACAAACTATTGGGTAGCTGTGGAGCACTCGCAATTCCTGTATATCGTCTTTTTTGTTTTTCGGCGCATCATTCTTTCTTTTTTGGCTCGAAAAAAGTGAAAGCTGTTTACAACTCCCTGTAACGCCGAATTAGAGCACAGCTATTGAGGAGGAGGAGGGAAGGGTACTGGGGGGGGGGGGGGTCAAGTGACCTTGGGGGCGGGTCACGTGACGATGCCGATGCCGTCATCAGTAACGATGACGATGCAGATACCGATGATGTCATCAGTGACGATGACGATGCGGATGCCGGTGACGTCATCAGTGATGATGACGATGACGATGTGGATGCCGGTGACGTCATCAGTGACGTCACTGATGACGTCATCGGGGGGGGGGGGGGGGGTCACGTGACCCTGGGGAGAGGTCACGTGACCTCTGGGGGTCACGTGACCTTGGGATGACCTTGGGGGGGTCACATGACCTTGGGGTGACCTTGGTTACGCCGACGCCGACGGCGACGCCGCTCAAGTCGGGAACGGGCCCCTAAGAGCTGCGCTCTAAAACCTTTTGATGTTATAAACGACCATTTCCCACGATAGTAGGGTATGTACATTTCCTCTCGCAAATACCGCAAAACCTTCGCTGTGCCAAAATGCAGCTCTAAGGCCGCCTCATAGGTGGTGCCACAGTGCCAGTGCATTCTCTCTCATCGTAAGAGATCACCGAAGATAACTCGGTCGTAAGCAAATGCAAGTGTGCGAACCAGCCTTTAGGCGCGATTGCTCGAACGACGACTCGATTGTGCAACATTTAGCTAGCCGACGCGTTGTTCCTTTGCTCTAGGAACTGATGCAGAACGTGGTGAACAAGATGCTGCGCTGGCAGTTCATCAAAAGCCTGGAGCCGCCAAGGGCAGTCCACGTGCGCTGCGAGGACCTCATCAGCAAAGACAACATGTTCGGCCAGGTCACCGTGCGCATGCACACGCAGCAGGTACGCGGCTTAACCCGGCCGTAACAAAGCATGTTTATTGTGCGGGCCGTTTCCTAAAAGTGAACTGGCCAAAAGATTTGACGATTCCTCCAAGCACATTCATTTTACTGGACGGGGCTGTTCAAAAGGCTTGCACCGTAGCCATTCATTTGAGGGTAAAACCCGAGGACGCTTTTCTCGTGCACAGAAGGATCTTTTCTTGTTTTTTTGAGTGGGTTGTGCCCTCAAGTTCCTGGCATCTAGGCGACTCCCCCAACGTCGGATACTATGCACGATCGACGGTGATCATCGATGAGAATAGTTTCCCAGGTAACCTTCGAGCGAGATAATTGAGACCCATTATCCTTCTAGGGACCATACGGGAGCTCTATATACTCCATTCGCTCCCAGTGGATAGCGCGGTGGAAGCTGCGCGCTTGTCTGACTAGTCAACCAATTAACCTCATCCCATTCATCACTTGACCCTCGCCATCTGCACGTGGGCATAGGCGGGAGTGTGATCCACAAGCACGTAGCTTCCACTGCTCTCCCAGCTTAGGGATGAACCAAGTTAAAGGATGTATGATCTCCTAGGGACCCAGGTTTCCTGGAGTGCCCCTTGGGGCTCCTCGAGCACTTTCATTTCTTCTATTCATCGTAGCCCAGTGTAAGTGCCTCTCCACATTAAGTGCAGTTTAAATGTGGTACAGGCACTGAGCATAGCCTCGACGAGAGAGTCCCCCTTAGTCGAGTTGGTTTTGTCGTAACGAGGCAGAAACAATCGGGGGGACGAGGGCAGGAAGTCTGGGGGGAAAGGGGCATCCACGAGACTGAAAGGTCCGAGGATTCCTGATGTGGAGATCCTTCGTTTACGAGCCAAAACATGTTTTGCTCTTCCAAACTGGTACAGTAATCATACATGGAGCATCAGTGTGTTTTACTTTGTGCACAGCAGTGCGTGATGCGATGCATATTAGATCTATGGAGTTAGCAGTCAAACTGTACTGGCTGAACTGCTGCCCCTTACATCGGTAACCCAAGGTGCTGGCTGGCTGATCTTCCATTGCACATCTTACCATGTGTGACCCGAAGCATCCTTGCGAAGAATTCCATATTAGTCTAAGCTTGTTACAACAGATCTGGTTATAACAGACATTTGGATGTAACATACCGATTTGTGAAGTTCAGTTGATTTTCCTCCACATACCATTGGCTCAACTTCATATCTGCATACAACATACTCATTTTACGACAATCTTGGTCAAAATCGAGGTCTGTTATAACGAGCTTAGACGTACCACCTTTACATTTGGGTGAGGATGTCTTTCCCCATTGCCTCGGGCCAGTCTCGGAACAAAAAAAATGGTTGTGGGTATGTTTATACAGCCTTGAAGTAAGTCTGCCTTCAACGAGCGACTCTTCTCTCAGCTGTAGATGAGCAATTTAGCCAGTGCAGTACAACCGCTAGGCTGGGGTCTTTAATGTGCATCACGCAGTAGTGACTGTACACCAGTATGATGCTCATCCAGATCGAAACGGGCAGGGGTGGGGATTGAACCCAGGATCCTGGGTTCTGCAGTGCGAGCTTTCGCTCCACGTGCTCCGAGCTGGTATGCGCTAGACCACTTGACCACCGATCCTCCCCAGGCCAGTGATTTAACTGTATGCTTGTGGAGTCTGTTCTTTATTGCAGACTGCATCATAAACAGGAGACCGAAGGAAATATCCAAAAAGTTACTCGGTAAACTATTGGCTCGTCTCACGATAGTGGGTAAAATGTTGCAAGTGATGAAAGTTGGCCACTCGAGCGTCATTGCTGGCAACGTCCAATTCTCAGGCTACGTTAGGAGTTCATCTCAGTGAAACATGTACAACATCAGATAGTGAACTTTTTTTCATGCAAACATGTTTGTCGTCCTCTTGTCTATGCAAGCCAAAACGTAGACACGCACAAAGACTGGCCCTCGCGATGTAGAAGGCGTAAGCAGCAAATTCGGTTTTATTTGTGATACGGTATGACGAGCCGTAGCCAACACAGAACCCCCGTGCCCAGACCCTGGCTGTGTACGACCGCTTCGGACGCCTGATGCACGGCAGCGAAGTGATGGCAAAGGACGTCCTGGAGTACGTAGTCTTCGAGAAGCACCTCTCCGACCTGTACGGTACCTGGAGGGTACACTCCAAGATCATCCCAGAATGGCAGCCGGTCAAGGACCCCGTCTTTAAGACTTATGTCAAGCCTGAGCCTGAGCCAGAGCCCCAAGAACGGACCAAGGAGCACCCCACGGAGCAGGCGGCTCACGCCTCGCAAGACTCTTCGGGACAGGCCTTTGCCACCGCATAGGCCTTTCTACAGACAGATGGCTATTGTCATAGTTATTGCTCATATAAAATGCATACATTATACCGAGTCGCATGTCTGGCAACTGGTGCATTTTGATACATAGTTTTCATGGGGTCTTGTTTTCATGGGCTTTAGAAGGGCTACTATGGTGTCAGGAACGTGTGTCTGACTGTTTGTCCAGCGTTCTACCCAAAATGGCAAACAAACATGCGGGAGGACCCTACGGAGTGTCGCCATTCTGGCAATCGGTTGTAGAAGTGACAATAGAGACGGCGAGCAGATGTAGGCGTAGCCATTGTCACGGCAGCCCAACTATACTCTTTTTCACCCCAACTTGTGCACCGGAGGCTCCACCTCTACAGGCCGCGCATTGGCCAGTCACCGTCGCACCACCACGAAGCGCTCCTCCGCCATTTTTGAAACAAATATAAACAAAAAAGTGTCTACAAAGAAAAAGTTCTATACGAGCGTCGTAATCGTGATAATCCAATCATCTTAAATAGGGCTTATGATGTAGCACGTTTTGAGCTATAATTTTTCATATGTCCAAATTTATTGGTGTGATTCATTTTAAAATACGAATCGCACGCAGTCGCTGCGTGGTGACTGAGGCCCTACTGACTGCGTTCGTTTGTTCACGGAAGAGTGAGTCGTTCACAAACAGAATTGCTTTCTTAATAAATACAGCACTCCCGACTTGGCTAACATCTTCTCTCAAATAAAACAATTGTACCGTCAAACTGTCCACTTAAACGGCGCAAGACTTGCAGCCTGAGTGTCTATTTCTTTACTTCTGTTGAATTTACGAACGCGTCCGGTTAACTCGGTGACGTCATGTTGTTGTTGTAGTCGGGGAATCGAATGCTCGACGCGCTCGGCCCGATTGCGTTCTTCTTCTTCTGCGTGTTCAGATATTTTTTACAACTTTATCGTTCTGTTTTATTATTCAGCGTATTTCCTTTGTGGATATCGTTGAGGTAGTGTCCATGGCTCCATCTCCACCGCCGTCGAGACGTAAGCCAGCCGCCACGACACCTATAAATTTGTGGAAGAAGCATCGGCAAGGACGCAAGCTCTCGAGCGATTGCAAGCAGATGGTTCTTTCCGTGTACGCCAAGCTGCGAGAACAATACCCGGACAGGTTGAGGAACGACTTATACCAGCTGACGTCTGAGTATACTGGCGTCGGAGCACGGACAGTTGTTGCCATAAAGAAGGAAGCCATCACGAATTCCGGGCTCCTTCGAACTCCAACTGGTAAGCGCCCAAAGTCGGTTGGCACCCGTCGTCGCCTGGTCCAGTACGACTCTTTTGTGCTGTCTGCGTTGCGGTCCTGCGTGCACGGCTTCTTTCGAAGGAACGAAACCCCGACCGTCACGAAGATACGCGAAGCCCTCATTGAAGCGCTGAAGGATGATGAGGTCGCCGTGGAACCGAGTCCATCGACTGTGTACCGTCTTTTGCATGACATTGGGTTCGAGCTGCAGAAGAGGAGTCGCAACTCTCTTCTCATTGAGAAGGACGACATCCTTGTGTGGCGTGCGAAGTACCTCCGCTCAATCCTGAAGTTTCGAGCAGAGGGTAAGGCGATCTATTATCTCGACGAAACGTGGGTCAACGCCGGACACACCGTCAACAAGATCTGGGTCGACACGACGGTGCGTTCTGCCAGAGACGCAGGAAATCGCGGCCTCAGCACCGGTCTCAAAAATCCATCTGGCAAAGGCAGCAGACTGATTGTCACTCACGTTGGGGGTGACCAAGGCTTTGTGGAAGGTTGCCTCGACATTTTTCATGGAGTGAAGTCGGGCGATTACCACGACGAGATGGATGGCAACAGGTTTGAACATTGGTTTGACTTGTTCCTGAGCAAGGTAGAGCCAGGAAGCGTTATTGTAATGGATAACGCTTCCTACCACTCAAGACGCGTGGAGTGTGTCCCCACGAAATCTTCAACCAAGAGTGTCATCCAAGAATGGCTAAGCTCAAAGGGAATTGACTGGGACAAAGACATGCTCAAGGTGGAACTAATTTCTTTAGTCTCCCAAGTGCGACACAAGTTCCTCAGCTACCGAGTGGACACACGTGCTGAAACTGTTGGGTGCACGGTTCTTAGGCTGCCCCCTTATCATTGTGAGCTGAATCCCATTGAGCTTATCTGGGGGCAAGTGAAGAATGAGGTTGCACGAAGCAACTCGTCTTTCAAACTAAAAGATGTGAAGGTGCTTCTAGAGCAGGCAGTCAAGAATGTCACGAAAGACAACTGGACCGCTGCTATACAGCATGTTAAGAAGATGGAAAAGCAGTTCTGGGAGAATGACAGCCTGTCGGACAGAGAGGTTGCACCAATCATCATCGAAATCAATGCCGGAGATGACAGCGACGACTCCTATGAAGATGAAAGCTGCGATGAAGTTGTCTCTGGATCAGGCCAGCCACACATTCCAGGTGTGGAGCCAAGTAATATGTAAGCAGTGTGGCAAAGTGTTTCTTCCATTGTGCTCTCCGGGAACTGCTGGAGGCCCACGTGAAGCCTTCTCTGCGTATAAGGCGGCCTGCCTGTGTGGGCTGACTCCCGAGATCTGGTATGCAACCCCGCCTCTCCGAAAACGGCTGCAGCAACACGACGAGGCGGCTTCGGAAGCCCACTTGAAGCGTTCTCTGAAAACAAGGCGGCCTGCCTGTATGGGCTGACACTGGACATCTGGTATGCAACCCTGCCTCTCCGAGAACTGCTGCAGCAACACGACGTGGTGGCTTCGGAGGCCCACTTGAAGAGTTCGAAAACAAGGCGTCCTGCCTGTGTGGGCTGACTCTCGACATCTTGTATGCAACCCTGCCTCTCCGAGAACTGCTGCAGCAACACGACGAGGCGGCTTCAGAGCCTCACTTGAAGTGTTCTCTGAAAACAAGGCGGCCTGCCTGTGTGGGCTGACTCTCGACATCTGATATGCAACCCTGCTTCTCCGAGAACGGCTGCAGCAACACGACGAGGCGGCTTCGGAAGCCTATGTGAAGCCTTCTCTGAAAGCAAGGCGGCCTGTCTGTGTGGGCTGACTCTCGACATCTGGTATGCAACCCTGCCTCTCCGAGAGCGGCTGCAGCAACACGACGAGGCGGCTTCGGAAGCCTACGTGAAGCCTTCTCTGAAAGCAAGGCGGCCTGCCTGTGTCGGCTGACTCTCGACATCTGGTATGCAACCCTGCCTCTCCGAGAACGGCTGCAGCAACACGACGAGGCGGCTTCGGAAGCCTACGTGAAGCCTTCTCTGAAAGCAAGGCGGCCTGTCTGTGTGGGCTGACTCCTGACATCTGGTATGCAACCCTGCCTCTCCGAGAACGGCTGCAGCAACACGACGAGGCGGCTTCGGAAGCCTACGTGAAGCCTTCTCTGAAAGCAAGGCGGCCTGCCTGTGTGGGCTGACTCTCAACATCTGGTATGCAACCCTGCCTCTCCGAGAACTGCTGCAGCAACACGACGAGGCGGCTTCGGAGGCCCACTTGAAGAGTTCTCCGAAAACAAGGCGGCCTGCCTGTGTGGGCTGACTCTCGACATCTGGTATGCAACCCTGCCTCTCCGAGAACTGCTGCAGCAACACGACGAGGCGGCTTCGGAGGCCCATTTGAAGCGTTCTCTGAAAACAAGGCGGCCTGCCTGTGTTGGCTGACTCTCGACATCTGGTATGCAACCCTGCCTCTCCGAGAGCGGCTGCAGCAACACGACGAGGCGGCTTCGGAAGCCTACGTGAAGCCTTCTCTGAAAGCAAGGCGGCCTGCCTGTGTTGGCTGACTCTCGACATCTGGTATGCAACCCTGCCTCTCCGAGAACTGCTGCAGCAACACGACGAGGCGCCGGAGGCCCACTTGAAGCGTTTTCTGAAAACAAGGCGGCCTGCCTGTGTTGGCTGACTCTCGACATCTGGTATGCAACCCTGCCTCTCCGAGAGCGGCTGCAGCAACACGACGAGGCGGCTTCGGAAGCCTACGTGAAGCCTTCTCTGAAAGCAAGGCGGCCTGCCTGTGTGGGCTGACTCTCGACATCTGGTATGCAACCCTGCCTCTCCGAGAACGGCTGCAGCAACACGACGAGGCGGCTTCGGAAGCCTACGTGAAGCCTTCTCTGAAAGCAAGGCGGCCTGCCTGTGTGGGCTGACTCTCAACATCTGGTATGCAACCCTGCCTCTCCGAGAACTGCTGCAGCAACACGACGAGGCGGCTTCGGAGGCCTACGTGAAGCGTTCTCTGAAAGCAAGGCGGCCTGCCTGTGTGGGCTGACTCTCAACATCTGGTATGCAACCCTGCCTCTCCAAGAACTGCTGCAGCAACACGACGAGGCAGCTTCGGAGGCCCACTTGAAGAGTTCTCCGAAAACAAGGCGGCCTGCCTGTGTGGGCTGACTCTCGACATCTGGTATGCAACCCTGCCTCTCCGAGAACTGCTGCAGCAACACGACGAGGCGGCTTCGGAGGCCCATTTGAAGCGTTCTCTGAAAACAAGGCGGCCTGCCTGTGTTGGCTGACTCTCGACATCTGGTATGCAACCCTGCCTCTCCGAGAGCGGCTGCAGCAACACGACGAGGCGGCTTCGGAAGCCTACGTGAAGCCTTCTCTGAAAGCAAGGCGGCCTGCCTGTGTTGGCTGACTCTCGACATCTGGTATGCAACCCTGCCTCTCCGAGAACTGCTGCAGCAACACGACGAGGCGGCTTCGGAGGCCCACTTGAAGCGTTCTCTGAAAACAAGGCGGCCTGCCTGTGTTGGCTGACTCTCGACATCTGGTATGCAACCCTGCCTCTCCGAGAGCGGCTGCAGCAACACGACGAGGCGGCTTCGGAAGCCTACGTGAAGCCTTCTCTGAAAGCAAGGCGGCCTGCCTGTGTGGGCTGACTCTCGACATCTGGTATGCAACCCTGCCTCTCCGAGAACGGCTGCAGCAACACGACGAGGCAGCTTCGGAAGCCTACGTGAAGCCTTCTCTGAAAGCAAGGCGGCCTGCCTGTGTGGGCTGACTCTCAACATCTGGTATGCAACCCTGCCTCTCCGAGAACTGCTGAAGCAACACGACGAGGCGGCTTCGGAGGCCCACTTGAAGCGTTCTCTGAAAACAAGGCGGCCTGCCTGTGTTGGCTGACTCTCGACATCTGGTATGCAACCCTGCCTCTCCGAGAGCGGCTGCAGCAACACGACGAGGCGGCTTCGGAAGCCTACGTGAAGCCTTCTCTGAAAGCAAGGCGGCCTGCCTGTGTGGGCTGACTCTCGACATCTGGTATGCAACCCTGCCTCTCCGAGAACGGCTGCAGCAACACGACGAGGCGGCTTCGGAAGCCTACGTGAAGCCTTCTCTGAAAGCAAGGCGGCCTGCCTGTGTGGGCTGACTCTCGACATCTGGTATGCAACCCTGCCTCTCCGAGAACTGCTGCAGCAACACGACGAGGCGGCTTCGGAGGCCCACTTGAAGCGTTCAATGAAAACAAGGCGGCCTGCCTGTGTGGGCTAACTCTCGTCATCTTGATTGAAGCCCTGCCATTTCGAGAACTGTTGCAGCAACACGACGAGTCGGCTCCGTTATGTTGCACAGAAATATTAAACACCGAGCCATGTTCAAGACGTCGTTCCATTCCCTTCTCGTCTCCCAGGCCAATATTGCGGGATTTAGCATGTCTTCAGCTTACACCGGCTTGTGTGCACGCATCTGCTAGTTCCTCTTAGATTGAATCTTTATTTAGGCAACAACATACAAACAGTCGTTGCCCAAGAGCCGACACAAAAGGCAAACAGAATTGCCTCATGAAACGCCGCCCCCCCCCGCCCCCCCCCCCCCCCTCCCAATCACAAACATCATACACACTTGTCGTACACAATATAACAGCATAATAAGGGTACAGCAAAGGTTATAGAATAGACTTGCACAGCAGAATTCAATTTTAGAACACCCCTGGCCCCAAAGACGCCAGAAATGCAGTTCGTTGAATGCAGAGTACACAGGAAGTGCCCGAGGTCTAATTGAACAGTGCAGGTCTACAGAATTTGCTTGTGTTACCAGTTTTTGGCTCATGAGCTTACATCACATTGTAAACCTAGGACACAGGACAAACACGAAAGGGCCTTTTAGTGTTCGTCCTGTGTTCATCCTAGGGATGTACAAAATACGAACTTCAAGAAGGTTATGAGTCGCAAAGATGCAGGGCTGTGGCACTGCAAACAAAAGCTGCCACAAGTACATTCGCTATACACAAATGCATGCTGGTGCTGTCCCAGAAATATTTTATAGTGATTCAAAGGATTAGACCTGCAATGAAGTGACATAGTTCCGTACTAAAATAAGTGGATGCGGGGCGGTCAGTTATAGTGCCCAGATGTAGTACAGCTGCATCTGTTTTCTCGAAGGTAAGAGAACTGGGAACAAAAATGCAAGCATTGTAACAGGAAACTGTTTTGGGCAGTACAGTACAATACCGAAATTGTTCGTTTTAGGGGCTTTTACCATGGGGGAGGGGGAAAGAGAACAACCAATGCTGTGTATATCCACCATTTGATCATACAATTTTTCGACTTAGAATGCTACATGTCATCGCAGCAAAAAAGCAGGGGCTAGAAGAGCTGTGGACAGTGGCCTGCAATGAACACAGAACATGAACCAGAGCTACTATGAATGTGGTATGCTCCTTGTTACCAACAATAAACCTTGTAGATATACTTGCAGTTTTCTTGGTGACTGCTCATATAACTAGAACTGCTCATATTAGACCAACAATATTGTATAACTGCTCATATTAGACCACAATTCTCACCACTCCACATTCGCGGCTTTGATGCAGTCGACTTCAGCTGCAGAAAACACGTTTTACACTATTTTGAGAATCTGCTGAGTAATCCGTCTGTTACAGCAATCTGGCACTTTACCAGTCATTTCCAAATGCTGTCGGACATCTCGCATGCCTATCGCGGTGCAGCAGAGAGCCGTTCGCGGGCGTGGTATTTGACGCTGGAGAGACTGAAATCGCAGGCTACCAGTTCAAGGAGCAAATAATATAAACTTTTTCAACAAAACCGCGACCGTAACGTAAGGGCATGTCACATACCAGGCAACATAAAAAGCGCGAATGTTGCGCGGCAGCGAAGTTGCAAACGCGGTCCGCATGCCCGATTGAAAGCGATGGCGACGAAGCGCGACGATAGCTGCAAATCATGTTTTCTATGCATTACATTTCCTTGCAACTGTTGAGATGCCGGCCAGTGCGGTTTGATAGCACAGACTCCCGCTCTTTCGCGAGCGACCTGAGCGACCGCTACGAATACGCACGCCACAAACCTGCTTGCAACCCGCTGGCTGAATCAACTGTCAACATGCACTCTGACTCCTCCCAGTGGGAGTGCGGGTGAGGACACCCGGCACTCTGGTTGGTTGGCGCACTGATACAATTCTCTTTGAGGAGAATTCGCCGGTGCACAAGTTGAGGTGAAAAAGAGTATAGTGGCTTCTGGAGTTTGCGTCAACTGGCCGACTGATCGAGCGATCTACGGCAAAACAGGCGTCCGTTTTGTTCTAATACGAGCAAAACTAAAGGGAGGAACGAGGGTTTTGTTTCGCTTTTATCATATTTCTATCAACATGCTCGTCCAACTCTGTTTTGCTGGGGCAGAAATTGGGGGTGGGGGAATAAAAATGCATTCAAACCAGTTGGAAACCCATTTTAGGCATCGTGGTACTACTGCCTTAGACCTTTCGCTAAATTGCATAAGCACCGAGGAGAATTCTGGGAACGTACCATAGCTGCACGAGTTGCATGCGCTTGTTTTCTCCATGAAGAATTTGAAGCAAATAGTCGGAATAAAGCGTTGACAAATGCACGTGCAAAGTGCCATTTGTTTTTAGAGTTTCAGAACAGTTACTGCTGCAGACGCTTGCAGATGCAAAGCGTGTACCTACGTTCCCAGCATTCCCTTTGGTGCTTTGCTAATTCGGCAAAAAGTCTATCACAACCAAGGTTTCCAGCCATTTCATATAGCGCGGGACGGTCCAGAGTCGGATTCTGTCTTCGCCAGGATAGTGTTGTATAGCCCACACATGGGGTTCATCATTTTCTTTAGGCTGGTGCGTGCTAGAGTTTGCACCATGGCTAGAGTGGCGCCTGCTTCCCCCCACCATGTCTGAAGTAATGGCAGAAATGCCGAGACAAGTTGCAGAGTTAGTTTGTACAGCCCATACACTGGTGTACTGGACACTTTTGCTTTCCCAATCCTGATTGAGGTTTTGACAACTTGGTTTACGTGCCATATTGCGTACAGGAGTAGCACAATATTATCTTGGTATTACAGTGCAGAAACGACACATTAGAGCCATTCAAGTCTGTGTTGGTAAAATCAGGCTTATAATAAACACTATTTGCGTGTAAAAAATTTTACACTTTAGGGGGGTGTTTCTTAAATAAGCTCACTACTTTGTTTATGGGGAAACTAGAATTTACACATGGTAAGCCTTACTCATAATTCAATGCCTTCTCTATATTTTATGTCACAAGAGCAGTTTGTTCAAAACAGATAGTAGTATTGCATTATGCACGAGGATCTCCTTTCCAATGTTTCTTGTACCAGAGCAGCTATCATCGTCCAATCTGATAGCCCTCTAACTAGGAGGGGGGGATGACTATTGTCTCCTCAATTAGAGAACATTGGGTGCCAGTTTACTAAACCAGCATTTTTCTTTGTTCATTGTCATTTACTAACAAAAAAAATGGTACTACATTTCTAGTTTGCAAACAGATCTCAGCAAGGCTTTGGTTAATGATCATGGTTAGCAATCTTCTCCAAGGGAAAATGCCAACAGCTCCAAGAGGCATGAGCTAGATATACATACCTTTGGGTAAAGGTTCAAGATGGTCAGGAAGAAAACGGTGTACAGTGGCTAACGATGAGAGCTAGAATGCGCACGGCGACCAGACAGTAAAAGCACTGTCACATGGCTACCGTGCGTATGTCAAAGGTGGGGAGGTAGCGCACGCGGCAGGTGAGGAGGCACATTTGAACACCTCCACCGCCGTTCTGATTCTCCACACACCTGTGCCTGCTGCCTGGTTGCCATTTGCGCATTCTAGCCCATATCGCTAGCCACTGTGCATCTGAGGGAACATGATGACTTCATTAATGTTTGTTTGGATATAGAACTTCAACCTACAGAAGAGTCTGTTCTCATAACTGAAGGATTATTATCAACCAGATTGCAGTTTCCTTGGTTCATTGCCAATGCAAACAGGAAATGGGGAATGCCTTCATAAAAGACAAAGCCGAGATAGGGAGAGAAAAAGGGGGAAGAAGGATGACGATCACACTTTCTCTTTACTGGCTTTTGAGCTAAGAGTTTAACCCTTCAGCTTTAATGCTGCAAACTAACAAAGACTAGAAAGAGCTTTGTGTCGGCTATGCCTGCAGCGAGTGCTGCCACCCAGCGACTTCCTATTTCAGCAGTTTCTGCAGCAAAACCTGGCGGGTGAACGAACTTGCACCTGCAGCACAGTGTGCGTAATAAGCGGAGACAATGTTACCGTAAAATCCCGAGAGATGCCCCACCCCCCAAGGGTAACCCCCTCTATTGTAAACTCTATTCGCTATATTCTTTTAAACACCGAAAGATAGCCCATTCCTAGTAATCACAGTGTAGGAATCAATGAGGATCTCGGCATAAATGCGGCTAGTTAGCTATGGCGGGATATAAGCGAACATTGCTGACTGGTGAGTACAGTCATCTTTGCTTTGTTGCCCTGCAGCGATAACAAGAGGGACACACAATCTTAAAATAGCATTTTTTAAGACTTTTCCCATTTGCACATCGAAAGTTATCCCACTCCTTTAGTGGCCTAAAGGTGCAATCCTGTAAGAAAACCTTTTTGTTTTTGGGTGAATCTCTCTGTCCTGCCGAAGTTGTTTGTTGACACCTTCCATGTTTCCACAGACACTGGGCGTAGGCCACCACGTGGATAGACCACAACGTAGCACGAACGAGTGATTGCCAGTTTCTTCCAACATCAGAGTCGTTGTGCTGCACGGCGTACAACCCAAACTCCCAACGAGACCATGTTCGTTCAACCAACAAGCTTTATTCTACGAGGAGGGAGGAAACAAATAAAAGAGGGGGTACGACATCACCAACGGTAGTAGTGTGTGAGAACGCTCGTTAAAATTCTGCTCTGGTTTGTACTTCGGTAGAGCTTCCCCCTTTCAAAATGACTGGCATCAAATCGTCACCTCGCCTATCACATGTTAATGGTTGAGGGACGTCCACAAGAGCAGGTTCTGTCAATCCTATACACTCGCGTGCCACGGCAAAGTATGTGTGGCAGACCCAAGCATTACCAAAGCAAAACGCGAGCAAATCGTCCACAAAACTTTCGATAGCACCAACACAAAAAGTCTTCACAGAGGCAGCCAAGACAAAAATCGAGCGTAATAAAACATGGCCACCTTGTGCCGAATTGCACGTAAGACAGCCTGTTTCATGTTCTTTCATTTTTGCTCGGAGGGGAGCATTTTTCTTGCAGGAGGTTCTCGTGTGCGCAGCTTTAAGCCGTGGTTGCTGCCCGTAACGAAGACGACTCTAAATCAAACAAAATGCAGCCAAACACTATACAATAAGCCAAAGCGATAATAAATATACAGAAGTAAAGCGCTGCAGTCTCAGGTTAATTTACTAGTTCATCGCAAGCTGGAGATCCGTGAAATTGAGAACCGTTTCTGCCTATATCTCCCGCTAATCTATGAAGCGGAGCTATCGCCAAGACACTCGGTAAGAGCAGAAATTGTCTAAGAACACTGGTAGCTACTTGTGAACAGCTTCATCAAAGCATACAGAAGTTAAAGGTGCACGTGAGACCGATTCTCAGTTACAATTTTTACTATCTCCAAAATATGTATTGCTCTTCAGCCATTCACTGCCCTTTTCATGTAATCAAACTTTGTTGTTGAGTACACAAATTATTGCACAACATTGGAGTATTCCGCTTACCTATTTTAGGCAAGTATAATTTTTTTTTTTAAGGTGCCAGAACAAATTTCTGCCTCGTAAATGCATGCAACAGTGCACGACTCCAAGAAGACCCTAAACCACAGGATTTCTTCGAATGAGTGTTTAGCATAGAAGAATACTAAAACACAGTCACGCTTGTAGGCCACAGCCTCAAACGAAAGACTGTTGTTAAACAAAAATCCTGAAAACTATCCAGTCCATCTTTGACGCTCAATCTAAACATAATGTCAAAAAAAAAAAAAAAAGAATGGTTATGTGGTTTATTTGGTTAGGCTTTCTTTCCAAACCTGTTCCTACATAATAGCAACACAACAATCAGCACTGATCTCCTTATTTGAGGGAGCAAAGCCAATCAAAATTATTATTAAGATTGAACTCAACAAAAGCTGTTACGTATACAGTTAAAACGAAGACGCGTAACTTGGGGAAATTAAAGCAGAAAAGCAAAGTCGTCCATTGATTTCAAGTTCTCTACATTTGCTTTCCAGCCTCTTGCCACTCCTAGCCTCTGTGGTAGACGGCTATGACGGAACACGGCCGAAGCCACCTCAGCCACAGTTTGCATCGCCACACAGTATACTCTCGCAACTCTCAAACCAACACATTTCAGTAATTTCTGTTGGTCCTCTCGATGCCGTCGTCTGCTCCTTGGGGGTGCACGAACCACACTTGCGGAAGGACGTCCGTGCTCTCCGACGTCGGTGGGAAGGAACCAGTCATGCTAAGCACCAAATTTGTCCGACACAAACCAGCGATGCCTTTCGATGTGATTAACGAGCATCTTGAGCAGTGTTAAATGGGGATGTGGTAACATTGCGCTACGGGTTAAAATTGCCCTCCGTGCACAACCAGGGAAATGGCAAGTCCCGCGTAACGACGGATAGTTAGCAATTGTTTACTCTCTAGTGGCTTATCTTAAGCTATCCTCAATCCGCTAATTTACTGTTTTAAAAAGCAGCCACTAATATATGTACACAGCAGTTTTTGCAGAGCCGCCACGCCTTTTGTCCGCCAACAGGTCACGTGGAACCATAGTTTTAGTTTTACGATAAAAAAAAACAACTTCAAAAAGATAAACGAGACAAACTTTTAATGCCATTTAACTGACCCTACATTAACCGTTTCAGCCCTCCGTTTTTCTTGGGAGTAAGCACTACATTCTGTATTTCTTTGGCTCATTTTAGTATAGACAAATGAAAGCCTTCATACTAAAAAAAAAGAATGTAGTACACAGAAAATTAGATAAGCAAAAGCTAGGCTGAACAAGCAACTACTCAGCTTTTAAGCTATAAATAAATTAGTGAGCGCATATAAGGCCAACAAAATTTATTTCTGAACCTAACATACTTCCAGTCATCTTTGATGACAAATATTTTTGCATAATTTCCATTTAGCAGATTTTTTCTTGTAGTTCAGTTCTATGTTAGACATAATAAATTAAAACAATTGCGTTCAATTAATCCGACTACCTGAGCCTAACCCCCTCGTCAGACGACAGTCTTAAGCTCGGCTGCAAAATCGGTATCTTGCCGCTCCCCTGGTGCAACTGTGTACGTAAAACCGTTTTTATTTCTCTATTTTTAAGAGACATGGTAATAAATAAAACAGTAAAAGCACTCTTGCAAGGGACGAACAAGGTAAGAAACCCTCAAATGATTTTGTAGAGGTGATCCAGCTTCCTAAAAAGAAATCTTTCTTAAACGAGTCATGCCTCAAAGACGACTTAGCTTGGCAAAAGTTTGAGACCAGTTTGGTGGTCCACAAGATCTGAAAGAAACACTTCAGAACTAACCTGCTTACTCGAGGGTAATCAATATCCTATATAGAAAAAGATCAACCTGCCTGCTTTCTCATACAGTATTAGAAAGCAGCAAATCATTCCAACTGTGGAATGATTGGAATGTGAGAGCCAATCATACTGATCTATGGAAAGAGTCCAGTGCATCACAAGACGCATAAAGTTTTCATGTGAAAATGCAAGTGCACTTATACAGCACCATAAATAGCATTTCTGATTGGAAACATTTCCAAGGTTGCTTGTGTAGATCATGACTGGCTCTTTCATGCCCTGTTGGGAAGCTGATGAAAGACCTTTATTTTTATATGCTCATAGTGGAGTAGGCAGGGTAAAGTCATTGGAATGTTTCAACAGATCTGGTACCACATTAACTCGGCCTGCATTGGCATGACACCATTCGCGCTGTGGATGAAATCAAAGCAGAACTTTTAGTTTAGACAGTTCATGTATGCATTCACTAGTAAACTCAATGACCTCAAACTTTTACACAGTTATGTATTTGGAATCCACCAGTCATCTCGCACTGCAACTCTGACTGCTTGTTTGGGGTGGCTAGGGGCCGGTCAAGTTGTTTTTACAGCTTTTTTTTTTTTCCCTAGTCACCTTTACACTTTTTGTTGAAAAAATAAAGGAATTATTATTATTAGATTAGTCACAGTACTGTGCTGGCCTTTTCACAATCCCTTGCAAGTGACTTTCATTGCAACATATGAGAGCTCGATATGCACACACACACATTAAAAACACTGAGTGCATCACGGAGCATCACGCGTACCAGAATTGAGCGTGTTCGTTTTTTTTTTTTTTCCTTCTACAGAGTGCCATGTGCAAAACTAAAGTGCAGCTAGTAGCTCTATATGCTGGTGTAGAAAAAAAAAAAACAGCCAGCACATTTCACACCTTTAAAAGGGTCTGTCTACTGCTGCATTGAGCCTAGTAACTAGGGTAGTGTCACTGCTTACATGCTAACCAGAGCATCATCAAAGATCAATGGTAGCAACAGGACATCGCAAAAGTTATACGCGCACATGTTGTCAGCGAAACTGGTGCAGAATTGAGAACGTCTTGGACAGGACACACCTCTCGCACCATTCTTGGCCAAGTTTAGACTGGCGTCAAACAAACTGATGCTGAAAAAACAGTCGAATGAACACTCAGTTTCAAAATTACTTGGACCTGTTTACGTGTCCTACGAAAAAAAGCCAGACTGGACACCCTCTAAAACTGACGGATAAGAACTGCTGCTTCAGAAAGCAGCATTGTCACGAGGACATGCGAACAAGCCCAGGTCTCAAAAGCAAGCACCGAGACGTCCAGCTCGGTGTGCGACTTTGTTCTCGCCGCTTTGTGTTTGCTGCTTGGTTTCTTCCTGGCACCTGGTTTTTCTAAATGATTGCCAGTTGGCCCACTTCTCTGCCATTGTTTCCTTCTTTGCCATTGTTTCCTATGTCAGGCTACGGCCGTGGTCTCGTAAAATGGCTGTTCGGTCGAAACTATGGATATATCTTCGTTTGGTCATTTCTCTCCCTAGAAGACTATAGAAATGCCAGTTGAAAACCAGTTCCACACAAAAATAATATTCTTCTCGCTTTGCAGCAATAAACCCCGAACTGATAAAAAAAAATGAAAGCACAATGTTAGCGCTTCTCTACTGAGATATGGATATCTATACAGCAGTCTGTGGGATGAAGACAAGTGGTGTGAGAACATCAAAAACGTTCTTGTGCCTAAACAAAACAAAGAAAAAAAAGAAAAAGTGCTGGGTAGAGGAAATTGTTTTCAATCACCCTGCACAGACTTCCACATTTAAAAAAGGACCCAAACCAGAAACACACTAGAAGATGCATCCTTTGAACAGAGCTATCTACATAACACGAGTCAAAATATGCAGAAGATGTAATGCAAACAACCCGGAACTGTCGAAACAAATGAAACAAAACAAAGAGACTGCGGGCAGCATCATTTTTTCCTAAGCCAAAACAAATATAAAATAACTTCCACATACACACGCACAAACATACGTATGCAGCCGGGTAAAAAAATCAAAATCAGCTTCGTGTCGAGGGTCGGCGGGTTACCTCGTTACGTTTGAAACAGATGTGCACCACAATGTCCGACAGAATGTGAACTATACAGTTTACACTGTTAGGGGATGACATTGTTAGCCCAACAACAAGGTGGAATTATGGACAGCCCTGTAAAGAGAGAGAAAAAAGGGAAACATTTATCCGCGGGTCAAACAGGATGTACCGGGTGTTCCCGAGATTAGGAAAACGTATTTTTCGGCCCGGGAAATTGAACTATGCATCACAGACAGCTCGAACTCTGTGAGAATGTGACGCTAGCAGTTGGGATAGAACACGAAAGTCTAAAAATATTACATTACCTAGATCAAAAGATAATTGAGGACAACCATCCTGATCTATGAGCCAATGTCCAGCTAAGCCTAATTTCGTCAAAAACAAAAAGAATGTCATTGTTGGTGGCCTGTGGCATCTATTTCAGTGAAACTAATTTGTCTGCAAGAAAGAACACAATATTCTCTTTTTTGCTGACAGTGTTTTTTTTCCCGATATAATTCCCACGAGCATTCACAATATCATTTCTTGACTCCATGATATTAGGCTTAGGTGGACATTTGCTCCTAGAGAAATTTACTTTTTCTCAATTACTGTAAACCACTTAATTTTCGCAAGGACCTAAATTTCGCAGCCTGCCTACAAATCACGAAAAATAGGTCCCGCGAACAATTGCGGTAAAATGTAAACACATTGGTATCTAGCTATATTGGGATCCCACCACGTGGCAAAAATGAGAACCCGCGAATTATTCCAAAACTTCAGCTTTGACCTAAATTGCGAAAGATTGAGCCAGCAAAAAATAATTTGTTTACAGTATCTCTTAGTCCAGGCAATGCCATCTTTCCAAACTTTCGCGTTCTATCCCAATGGCTAGCTTCACAATCTCACAGAGTTTGAGCTTTCTGCGATGCTTAGTTCATTTACCTGGGCCAAAAACACGGTTCTCTTCTTTCGGGAACTTCCTGCACTTTCTGAATTGGGATAGTGCTGCCACATCCGGAAAAGGCTGGCTATTTCAAGCAACTATAGGGGATGCTTTAGCTCCGTTATGGCGCCTGGAACACGTCTCAGGCTGGCGTTTTTACTGCGTCCAAAAAAAGCGGTTCCTCAATTTCTGCCGGCGTGGTAGAAACGTTGTGTTGCTGCCGGATGTGGCAGACGCCTGTTCCGCTGCGCTCTGCCGCTCGACATGTTGCGCTTTTTTCCCGGATTCGTACGTCCAACCGCCACGATCGCGACATCCGGCAGCAGGACGACGCTCCGGGTTTTGCGACGTCGTTTGTTGCAACTCTGGGACCTCTTTAGACGCGCGGCAAGAACAGGACGCTCAGCACACTGGTTGGGGACACCTTCCAGGCAGCATAGCTCCACTAAAGCTCCACACTGAAGCGAGCCCCTTTTTATCGCCAACATTCCCGGAGAATGTTTGAAAACGCAGGCGAGACGGGCTTTCCTCACCATTCTGCGGCGTATTTCGGGGCGTGAGTCGCGGCTGCTTCAACACGTGTGGCATTTAGGGTAAATTTGAGTTTTAAACGCCAATCACAATGAGGTCGTAAGTAAAGTAAATATATGCGTTTCGTTCGAGGACGAAGCAGTTCTATGCCGGCTGATCGTACATTTTTGCCACATGGGAGCACAGTGCCCCGCCCGCGCACAGATTCATAGCGTTTTTTACCCTCATTCCGTGCAACCGTTTGTCCTCGGACAAAACAAGTATGCACTCGCTCCGGCGCCGACGGCCCAATTCGAACATGCGGATGCGTATAGCATTTGCCGACTTTTAGAATCTTTGCCGCAGTCGGCGCCCTGTTCGGCCGGAAGAACGTGGACGAGTCTGTCGCCCCGAAATGCCCGTCGCGACTGACCTGTTCTTCCTAGTAAAGGCTGCTTCGCACACTCGCGTCTAATGGAGACCGAGCACGTTGTGCAGCCTCGTGCTCCTTTGAAACGAGATAACACGCTTACGCCACCTAAGGGGTAAAGTTCACTTAACTATACTCCATTTCACGATAACTTGGCAAAGTGCGGGGGCTGCGGCCACCACGACCAAATAAGAGCGTCGGAGCGAGGCTCGTGACCACTCGACGGTCGCACAAACACTCCCGTGACGTGATGTCACGTGCCTCACTCCAACGCTCTTATTTGGTCGTGGTGGCCGCAGCCTCCACACTCCAGCACGCCATTAAAAATACCCCTCCCCCCTCCCCCCAAAAAGAAGAAAAAAAAGAAAACTATAGGACAAGAGGTATGCTTGGTTGCAAACCTATTATAACAGGCCGCATGAAAGTAACTGAACAGGTTCAAGTCTTTTGCCAGACAGAATTCGCTGATCCCCAAACGGGGAATAAGCTGAAGAATGTATTTGTAGCAAATGGCTTTGTTAAGTTTGCTGCTGGCCTCCCTCAATTAGTTTTGAAATCTACGAAATCTTATAACGGCCTTGATCGAAGTGTTCGCTACAACAAGTATGTATCTGCGAAAATAGTTTTTCAAGATGAAGACTGATCTTAGCCATCCTTTGGCACATAACTATGAGTGAAACGCTCCTTAGTATCTCCATTACTTTGTACAAGGTAGGTAGGCTTCCACGCAAGTTTGCCATCTCATTGCCGGGACAGGGGCTGTCGTTCGAGGCAGATGGGGGCTCCTCGAAATTAAAAAGTTTAAGAGAACACCTGGTCCGTAAGAAACGGCAGATAAAACAAAACTATGCGTCCACATTATCGGCTGAGGCATCTAGAACCAAATCAAGTTCCCACTATGGACGTTGCATTGCATTTAACTCGGATTTGTTTGTTCTAGCGGCACTACCTTTAGCACAATGATACCAAATTTGATTGCACGACAGCAGTGGCAGGTGAACTCCGATTACGAAACTCGAGCTTTAGCATGCATCTGGGCACGTTCAAAAGTGAAAGACGCGACTAGTGAACGACACACCTTCCGAAAACTGAAACGACGCGTTTTGGTGGTCGGCCGAACTACGAAGCCATTTCGCCTTAGGCCCCCTGGAGACAGGGCCGACGGTTGCGTCCCAGAGGTGTAACAACAAAGACACCCGTCATTGCAGTATACGACATGCTTAACCTGTCCCCACAACGCACCGTCCTCGCGCGGGGACCACGTCAGACGCCCAAACACCGTCGCAAAGAAGGGAAAGAGCCAAGACAGCCAGATGGTACGGCGAGGCATGCACTAGTCTGGGCAAGCAAGCAAGTGGCATCGGTCTAGAATACTGCGCATAAGAGAGGGGGGGGGAGGGGCCTGCTCTCACCTGTTGCTCAGTTAGCTTTGGTAGTGTAGGTGACAAGCTCGCTAACGTTGATGCTTGAAAAATCAACGGGCACATCCAACTCTGCGAGATCCATGTCACACAGGTTGTAGTCCAGGTCAGGCGCAGAGAGCCCCGCACTGGCAAAGACAAACAACGACACACTCCGTTAGGTCCTCTTCCCGGCCTGCCTCGGATCTCGGTCTCCTAATCTCTCCAACCCCCGGGGAGGATCTTTACGCCGCTAACACTTGCTTGCTTTGGCTACGTGCCACTTGCGACGCCATTTCGGAAGGGATAGAGAAAAAAGTACGGTGTTCGCACGTTCTGACCTGCTCCCTGGAAGTGTGAACGTGGTACTGTGTCAGACGCTGGCGTCCCCTGCCAGAGGCCTCGCGGGATGGGCTAGCCTTTGCTAACAGCGATGATGCAAGGGAGCGAAAGACAATCAATCGATGCACGACGAGACAAGCAGTCGTCCTAAAGACACCGCCGCGGTTGCCAGAGTCGACCCTGGTCGGGTTGCTTTAGTGGCTTTCGTAGGACCTAGCGTTTGCCTTTCTAGCGTGGTACTAGACGGTCCCGAGTCGAGGTGTTAAGCCGCCGTGAAGCTTGCGACTGCTCCGTGCAACAGCAGCTTCAACAGCGAGCCAGTACCGTAAGACCAAACAGCCACACCCTTGCCTAAAAGCGTCGGAATGCATCTCGTAAATACACTCGGCGATGCTTCACGCCGATTAAAGGACGTCTCTTATTGGTGGGTATGTCGAAGCATCTTCGGGCAAATATAAAATACTGAAATGTCTGCCATTGAAGTTTCACGAAAATATGCTGAAGCAGCGTGTATTGCCTAGTGCTCAAACCTTTGGCAGCGATCTATGGGTACATCCGAAGGGTATTTTTAAACAGCTATTCGAAGGATGGCCCTATATGTGATGAAGGAAAACAATATGCTAGTTGCCACTTCTTCTGTAGCCTGAAAAACTCCAGAGTGAGATTTCTATCTTTACAATGCATGAGATCATGTTATTTTCTACAGCTTAATTACACTTCAAGAACTACATGAAACAAAAACGCGGAGTATGTAGGACCTGTACTACATTATTTCTAACGTACAAAACCAAAGGTAGGCTAATTATCTGGCCACACACACACAGCTAAGCACACCCATTCCAGGAGTTTGGCATGGCCCAGTTTTTAAAATAATCACTACATAATACCTCAAAGCCAACATAATTATTTATTATCGATGAACAAGACACATTAGGACAAACAAAACGACAAGTACTCAAGCTTGAGAGAGTATTATAAAACTCTACAGCGTAATCCTTGGTATGGCAACGGCAAAAGAAAATGTACAATTCATGTGTCAAGACAAATCTTACTTTGGCGACTTTTCATTATATTTAATATCTGCGGTGCTAAACTCATTATTAGACGCACATGCAAGCAATAGGGCAGTTGCATTAGAACTACCTAATGTTACAAGTATGGTAGACACAAACAGCAAGCAAAAAGAAATATATGAACTGAAATAAAGCTCCGCAACAAAAACAAGAAAAGCATATGAGCCGTTCAGTTGTTGTTCATACCACAAGTACTAACTAAAAGCTCGTAGGGTTTCACTTTCTTTCATGTTTACAATGACACAATGTTGCATGGCACTGAACCACTCCATTGGTAATATAATATATATTTAGAGATAAGTTCAATACATGTCAGTACTAAACACATACCATAATGCCTCCAGTTAAGGTTCCAACATGTACGCACCTTTGGAATCAACCCCTCAATTTTGGCCATCAAAAGTCCGGCACCAGCATCAGTAAACAATCATGTGCATCAACAATGTGAATATATATGCATTTATGACCACACCAGGGCATTCCAGCGTATTTCCTCCGAAGATGGGCCTATGGCAAGTACTCCTCCCTCTTTCCACAAAAAGACACTGAAGGCAATTTATTTTTCATTTTTTTTTTTTTTATAAATCCGAGCCACCCAAATGCAAAGAACAATACGTTTTAATTAGAACTTGGTTCATAGTGCCCGATGCACCTAGTACACTATGTGTAGTGTAAAGAAGCAGCTTTTGAATTTGCTTCAGTGTCCTTTTATAGGCTTCTCACATTAGCAACTGAAAATAACCAAACAAACATCAGTGTGCACACAATATTAGTTCAAGCGATGACAACAAAAATCAGAAACACTTGGGAAGAAAATCGTGACTGCAACTTATAACTGCTATCCAGACATGCGGTAGGCAATAGAGCGCAGGAGCAACGCACCAACAACGCCCCTCACAAATCGGACAAGGAATGGAAGGAATGAGGGACATGAAACACTCAAGTCTCACTTCAGTCACTGAAAAATAACAACAGGGATTGTTCTGTAGCTATTGATCCACAGTCCTCGTAGCTGCATTTTGTCTACAGCTTCCAAAAAAAATGTATGCTGCGGACGGAATTGACAAGCATAGGCCCCCAACAATCTCCTGATCTTAAACGCAAACTTCCAAGGAGGCAACCAGACACCACCTATATGAACTGCATGCTACATTGTCTTTCTGGCCAGAAGGGTCATGCCGTTTAACATTCATAATGTATATTGTAAGGGCATGTCCAAAAGTAATGCATTTATCCATCTTATCTAGGCTATATACTGCTTTACAAGGTCTGTGTGATATACTTATTGTTCCTCTCAAATAGCTTTCAAAGAAGCCTGACAACACTCCCATACTTTGAAGGTACCACAGTTTAAAAAAAAAATATCCCGAGCTGTCTCCACTGGCTGGTATATTCGCTCGTTCCAAGAAGTAAAAATCTTGGATCTTTCATTAAAAATTTCTTGCTCCGAGAGCCAGAGAGAAGAATATAGTATTTGAACAACAAGTTTGGGCAAGCACTGCAAAAGCATTAGCTTCAATTGGAAGCATATCAATCCTCTCATATTTGACTAATCCAACAATCAATATTAGCCTTTCATACAAAACTAGGCTCTAGGCAAAGTTCACATGACACACAACGTTTCCATGTCCTGCAATGGCAATTTTAGTCGAAGGCATTGGAGAACTAGTAGACAACAAGGCCATTTCAACGGTTGTGTGTTAAAAGACACAAAAATATGACATGCTATGTATAAAAGAAAAACCTGATGCCTCCAAAAACTGTAAACACATCAGAGCTGTCCTTCCATAACAACTACAAAGGTAAAAACAAAAATTAAAATTTTTTTTTTATAAAAAGTGAGCTAATTTTTTTTTTGCCCTATTTAAAAGGTAAAAAGAAACCTTAACAACTTTTCAAATTTCAATTCAACAAATAAAAACACTTCAAGTCAATTAAGTTATACACAGAGTTATTTGGTAAATCAATGCACCTCCCAACAATGCATAAGAAACACCACATTTTTGGTCACTGTGAAAACAAATTGGGGATGATATTAAGACACCCTTAAATTTGGCCCAACCATAAAAAGAAAGAAAAGGGTCTAAACTTTACAGTGAAATTGCGAGCATCAAAAAGGCCACGCACGCTAGTGCTTCCACCAGTCAGTTCCAAAAGGCGTTGCCAGTTCTGAAACAATCATCTTCAATCTTGTAAGCTCTTCACACTGCTTGGCATTTGTGAGCACGCACAGAGCAGTCCTTGCCCGACGGCGCGGCGTTTCAGGGGAGAGGACGCCGCTTGTGCCGGCTGGACGCCAAGCGCCGATTGGACGCCAGAACTCGGGCTGCCTAACTGCCAGGCTGAGCAACTTGCTTCCCTGACTTCACCTAAAAGTCAATTTGACAGCTCTAGAGACCGACAGTGTCTGTAAGCAAACATTCTGAGCACCTCTCAACTTGATCCCCTCTTTCTCAATGTCATCTCTAGACAGCTGCGCGCCACGCCAGGAACACCAAATGTCATTGATTACTGCCAACGTTTCTTGCCTGCGGTCAACAAGCGCGCTTCCGTTGTGCTGGGCACGTCGACCCGTCGCTTTCGTGGATTCGCTTGAAGTCCCGAAGAACCTTTACCACCAAAAAGATTTCCCAAAGAATGTGAGCCTTTTCCGTAAAAATAATGTGACATTCCGACGGAATTGAAGCTGACTTGTCAGGCACAGTAGGTGTTTGTGTGGCCTAGAACACTCGCCGTGGGAACTTCAATACTACACAAATTTGTCGAAATGCGCAAACAAGCTTTGTGTCAGCTGTGACGTGAAATAGTCCCGTCGGAAGCGATTGCGGTCGTAGATTGCAACACCGTCAGTTTCCCGTACTACCAAAATAACTTTTATGCATGCCACAATCATGGTTACCGACAGGAGGAGGACGGCAGAGCATCTTTCGAATGCCCGGCCCCCAGCAGACGCTCGTTTCATCTCAAAATGCTTTGGCTGCATGCGCATGCTAGACGCTCACGAGATACCAAAGCATCATTGAAGGTAAGAAGCTCTCGCTGGAGGCGGGACAACTGAAATTCCTCCCTGTCGTTTTCATCCTGTCAATGACTATGATACAACGGCCAAGATCGCCGAGTTTAACTCGTAAATCTCCCTTCCAAACAAGATTTTTGAGGAGAAAGAAAAACCAAGTACAGACGCAGGGGAAAATCACGAGTTGAATGCCCAACACGTCGAAGGAATAAGTGGTTCCGGTGGTGAAACGGTCATGCACGACTTAGATACAACCCTAGTCGACACAAACTGCTGGTCCAAGTTTCGCACAAGCACATTGCCACTGCCCTCCTCCGTGCATCTTCGTCGTTCTTCGCCGGGTCTTCTCGGGGACTCGAGGCCAATGACTAGCACCGTGCAGCCGTGGAGTTAGGGGAAGGAGAGGGAGGGGACAAAAGGGGGAGGGGCACCAGAGTGGGCGGGGCCACTTACTGCATGGCTTGGTCCAGGGAGGACCCATCGTGGTAGACTCCTGCCGCGGTGTCCGGCGAGTGGGGGTGGAAAAAGGACTGGGGTGTCGACGGATTGCTATCCATGAGGTTCAGCATTCCGGACAGCCTGCGGGAAAGGACGGCCGTGAGGTCGGGTCGGCTGCTTGTTCCCAACAAATGCACCATAATCTAAACCAAGTACAAACACGCCATAATCAGAATCAAACACACCGTAACGTAAACCAAATACAAATACGCCGTAATCCAAATCAAATACACCATAACCTAAACAAATATACCATAATTCAAACCAAATATAAATTAACCATAACCCATCGAAATACAAATACATGATAATCTAAACCAAATACAAATACACTACAATCTAAACCAAATACACCATAATCCAAACCACAACACAAAGACAATGTAATAAGGCAGGCGAGCTGGTAAAGTTAAAACATTTCCAAAAACCCAAGACGGAAGCTACAAGGAGGGCGTTTACAAACGTTCACGACCCAAAACCCTGATGTTTCCTAACCAGCTCGCCCATGCAGTTTCTATTCTGAAAATACACCGTGCAGACACTTTTCGTCGTGCCTACGCAAGTTCGGCACGTAGGCCACACGTACAAAGTGTAGAGCTTCCAATTTTCTGCATAGATTTTTCTTCAAATTTGGCGGTGAACACTACATAATGTAAAGGGACCTTCTCCCGTTTTCGATTATCTCCAGTACGGCACCGTGACGTCTCGGGGTACCAAGAAAGCAAATTATCCACCATCAAGATACGCTCCTTCCCCCGCTTATTTCGCTGAGGGGTCAAACTGTCTAGTCGAGGGAAAAATGGGTGGTTAAAGAAGTACTCCGGCATTTTTTTCATCGTTCCCGACTTGCCCCTAAGTTGACGAAACACGCCAACAAACATGGCTGAACAAGCAACCCAAATATTAGGCCAATTTTTTTTTTTTTTTTTCAATAAGGTATTGAATTAGTAAACTTGGTCCTCACCATTTTTTTTTCTTCGAACTAAAACCTTCTATTGGCAACAATGAAAAAGGGACGCCAGCGGCAGGCAGAGGTTCACGCTTTGACTAGAATTTGTTCCTGATTACAGGCAGTTTTATGGTGTCAAATGAATCTTGTTAAAGGGGAACTCCGCCGTTTTCTTCATAGTCCCCGATTTGCCTAAAAGCTTGCTAGACACACCAACAAACATCGCTGAACTAGTAACCCAAATATTTGGACAAAATAACTTTTTTTCGTGCAGTTACAGAATTTACAATTTTGGACCTCATCGTGTTTTTCAAAGTGAAAAGCTCTACGGGCAACATTGAAAAAGTGACGTCATGGTTGGGTAGAAGTTCACTCTTTTGGGCTGTAGACTTTCACATCTGATTACAAACAGTTTCATGGTGTCAAATGAATGCTTTGGAAGGTCGCTCCAGCTCCCGCGCAGCAGCACGATACAAATGCTCGGCATAGTTCATATTTAGACTGCCCGCTCGAACCGCAATCCAGCCCAACCGTGACGTCAGGGCAATGAAAAGCGCGGGTATATTCGAATCTTCGTTTTGGCGTTGTTTTCATTTGCCGATTTCACAATAACTATTCTGAATTTCGCGATACTAAATAGCATACCGAAAAGAGTAACGCACGGCGATTTCGAATATATGGTTAGTTGGGGTTGCTCAAAATATCGCCGGAGTTCCCCTTTAAAGGTTTGTTTGGCCTAGTTGGCTCATGAACATTTCGAGGCAGAACAGCGCAACGAGACTCAAACTAAGTAGAGACGAGGCAGTATACAGTGCTGTGTGCAGTCTCGTCTTTACTTCATTTTTGTTTAGTTGGGCTGTTTAACCCTGAAGTCATCAAATGAATGAATGCCTTGGAAGCTCGCGCCAGCACCCGCACAACAGCACGGGACAAATGCTCACACACCCTGACTTTTAGATGACCTGCTCGATCTGCAAGCCCGCCTGCCAGTGACGTCACGCCACTGGAAAGCGCGGGTATATTTAAATGCTTGTTTTTGGTATCATCTTCATTTTCCGATTTCACAATAACTATAAAAATTTCACAATGCTAAATAGCATAACGAAAAGGAGATTCATAAAATATAGTTAGTTGGGGCACCTAAAAAAATCGTCAGATGTGAGCCTCATAAATGCAAAAACCAGCAAGTGTAAACAAAACTAAGTGTCTGTTTTGCCCATTATGAACATTAAGTGCTTATTCTGAGCATCTAAAGCCCAGGTTAGTGCTTGCCTCAGACTATTCTGTGTCATGTTAGAAGTGTGTGCTAAAAATCGCCGATGAAAAATGAACAGTTTCATGAAATACATGGTGATACAGAACTTAAATTCTTGTAGACACAGAAAAGTCGTAGAAGGAAAGTAATTGTTGCAACTCCGTTACCTGAAGAAGCAATAAGCGTCACAGAGACAATTAAAGAGTGATTATCTAACTGGTGTATAAGAAATGCTGCACTTCTAAGTTTATTGTTTATGCTGAAATGCATAAAAAATGAAAATTCTGACGGAATTGTTCAAACTCTTCTGTACAAAAAACAAACTGGAAGCATAGTAAGATGCAGGGCACTCAAAATGTTTTTGTTTTTTTCTCATTCAGGCACATCATAAAGCAATATTTAAATTTGATTCTGTCTGGAATTAAATGTCTCGTTTTCACAAGAAACCATAATAACAACAAAAAATGGTGAAACTATGAAAGTGAATAGCTCAAACTAAATTTCGTTAGATAGGCTTTAAAACTAAATATGCAGTGCAATTCACATATAACGATACAAGACATAACGATGTACTGCTTCTAATGATCAGTTTCTAGAGTTTCTAGTCCAGATACGATAATCGGTTAAAACGACTGAATTTTCGGGTTATCTCATTATCGTTATAAGTGGATGCACTGTAATAGACACTAGAAATAAAAAAAAATAAAAAAATCTGTTGCATCAGCGTTAGGGGTGCATCAAGCACTGTCATATAAGAAATTTCTGTAAAAAATAAAGCCCCTTCCCCCTACTCTGCAGCCACTCCACAATAAACTACTGCAATTGTGCCCATACACCAATATTTGAAACAAAATGAGCACTTTTCTGAGGCTCCTTGGTTACCAAGGAAGGAGACAAAGGGAGGTCCAAAAAGGTTACGTCCAGCCTGCAAGACCCCTCTCGGGCACCCAATATTCAACATTGTCTCAAAAGAACGCTTAGCATTCTTTAAACAGAGCACTCTTGTTTTTGAGTAAAGCCATCTTTTACCCAATACTAAAAAAGTCAATTTAAAATATAGCAATTTGTAAGAACCTCCTCACAATCATTCAAGTTGCAAATTTCTACAGCCCAAACACGATTTCGAAATACTGGGTGAGTTGACGCCGACTTGTGTCCCCTCCAAAAATCACAAAACTTCTTCATTATCGTTTTTAAGTGTCTCATTTAATAATGCATTTTCAAAAAAACACACTGGTTAAATTACATTCCAGCATGGGCCTCAAAAGGGGACCCCTGGAAGTTTCAAAGTGGTAGAAAATGTTCTGTTGTAGGCCTAGCTTCCTTAGGCATCTTGAAGGAGCTCAGCCAGTGCCGACATGAAGTGCTTCGTTTGCTTATGCATGGTTAACATATTGCACACCCCCTCCAACCAGTCTTGGGGTGGTAATTCAAGTAAATAAACAAATAAATAAATCTGTTGGCAATATGTCACTCCCAGGCTTCCGGGACCCTTTTCATATTCTCTCATCAGCTTTGATTACTACTTTCATGGTTCGCTTCAAGGGGGAGAGAGAAAATAAATGTTGACTCAGAAGAGTTTGATTTGCTCGGAATCCCAGTATGGAGATACTAATAGTACCTGAAGATAAAATTGTTCCCATCCTGCTTGCTTGGACTTCCAGAAGGGAAACATTAGTACCTCAAGACTTAATTTGGAATTCCAGTATGGGAACATTAGTACCTCAAACTAAAATTGTTCCCACACTAGAATTATCAGCAATTCCAGTATAGACACAATTTTAGTCCAAGGCAGTGGAACAGCCAGGAATATATACCGTATATATTTTTTTTAGGGGAAGAGGGTACTAAATATATATAAGGTACAAAATGATTGTTCTGTGCTTTTGATTTTTACCGCTAAAACACTTAAAACTATGCCCGGCAATAGCCAAATCTTTGTCGAATTTTCGTTGAAAAGTACGGCGGCGAGTGGAATACCTTGCCAAGTCGATTGCTGCAAAGTTCCAAAGAATGCTTACACCGAAAGATCATTCATTCTGTTTTTATGGATATACAGTGCCATCCACTCATAACGACAACGAGAAAACCCAAAATTTAAATTGTTATAATATATTATTGTATCTGGACTAGAAACTCATTGTTTCTAGTCCAGAAACTGTTTGTTAAAGCAATATATTGTTATATGTGGTATCGTTATAAGTGGATTGGACTGCCCGAAACATCGCCCACCCCTCCAAATTCACGCAGTATCCAACAAGACTCCCTCCAGCAGAAATTCTGCTGGAGGGAGTCCCGTTGGGATACCAAACTGGGTAAGTAAGTTAGATGAAAGTGCTGGACTATACTGCTCACAGGATTAATTAACCCATTCGCTACCAAAGCCGGCAAAGTGCCAGGCGTGCCGTCAGGGGCCATATTGCCAAAGCTGGCAAACTGAGACTTGGGGTAGTGCAGTTAGATACATTACCAACAGATGGCGAGGGTCATTCTGTTCGCTGTGTTTGTTTGAGCTTGTTCTTTTGTATGTCGTCTTTCCCGCTCGATCGCGGTCTGCTTGGAGAAGATGGCAGTGTCTAGTGTACGGTGTGGCCTTTCTGACGATGAAATTATAGATTTCCTCTTGGACAGCGATAATGACGGACATCTGGTGAGGATAGCGAGTTTTCGGAGACTTCTGTCGACGACGGGAGGGATTCCGACGGCACTTCCGAGTCCGAATTACGACAAGAGCGCACTGGTTGGGTGACGCCTAAGCGACTGATGATGGAGTTCTTCAAGATTGTTTTTCCAAACAAGGAAGAATCTGTGAGGGCCTAGTGATTTATAGACTTGAACGAATCATTTAAGCATGTAAATAAAGGTGTTTTCTTTTTT